TTTATTATTTATTGGTTAAAAAGAGTGATGTGGTTTAGTTTTTAACTATTTCGCTGCCACAGCAGCTCCAAGTCTTCCACCAATTGTACACATCTAGAGACTAACAAGTTGGACATCAATGCAGAATAGCTCAAGCTAGACTGGCTGTGAATTTTCATACATTGATGTTCAACTTGTTACTTTTTAGTTTGACTTCTGACTTCAACTGGCAGAGCAAGGTATTTTTATGGATATCAAACTAAAGGGGGATGAATATATTTTCATTTTTTTTGTAAAAGAATTTGTAAAACATTTCTATTTTTCTGCCACATATTCTCAATACAATTAATTAAAGTTTGTGGAAACTGGGAACAACTTAATGGGATTTGATTAACACATTTTAAAGAATGGATAAATAAACCTATAGTTTTTTTTATTATCATTAAAGTACGAATCTGTGAACATTTCCTGTTTGTGTTTTTCCAAAAGCCAAGAAATTTCAAATGTTGGGAGATATAGTGTTTGTGATTAGTGAATCCAGCATATTTATTGCTCAATACTGAACAGTTCTATACGAACTGTTTCTTTCTTCTTATCTACTTCTATGGAACATGTAGGAAAATTATATTAGACAATCATATCATACCAATATTCTTGTCTCTGTCAAAATGATTTTTGCAGTCTGGTTTACGATTTTACGCCACAGATTTAAATGTAAACATCAGAAAAATCTGGAACTTCAGTCAATTAACACAGTTAATTTTAGGGTAACTAATTACTAGCAATATTAAAGTGGTTTTCTATGGAAGATTTTTTACATTACATTTTTGTTTTATAAATTTCATAACTGTAAAAATCACGTGAAATTAATGTGTTTTGAGTTATGGGTAATTCAATGTATTTTCGATAGTAGTATAATGTTTTTATGGTCTATAACAGTTGGTATTATATAAGTTTTCACAATAAATTTTTCAGAGTTTTTTTTTTTTTTAAAGTGTAACGATTTGCTTAGACTTCATTGGTTCTGCGTTCACCACTGTAAGGGTTTGTTTGCCAGGCTGATCTCTTTAAGACTTTAAACGATGCCCCACTTCAGCTGAACCCTAATTTGTGTCGGTAGTTTGAGATACGAAGAGTTTTCACTTGATAAACTGGCAGCAAAAAAAATAAATAAGTAAATAAATAAATAAATAAAAGAAAGTCAAAGTAAAATTAAAATACTGAGATTTCACATCCACTAAGCAGAGTCAATATGAAGATCTGCATTGAGACAGAGCCTCATCATAGCCATTTTACTTAATAGGAAAGAAAGCAAGATCTCTACTTCGTACATATTTTAATCTTCGTCTCCTCTGCTCTTGTCGTGATTTTATAAGTTCAAAGGTTTTTCCATTTTAATCAAACTCTTTCTGATATTAAACAAAACACATGAAAACAGGTGGAAAGCACACCTGCCCTTTAAGAGTTAAAGACAAAATAACGGTTACCGACCTTAATTGCAGACTGAAGCTGCTGTGCAATCACATCCCCCCCTCCCTTGTTCTTCTTCTTCTTCTGCTTCTGCTGTCTCTGCCACACGGAGGATCTTATTAGGGGTCACTTCACACACGTATAGCTGCAGTTGGTGCTGCTCACCACAGATGCCGCATCCCTGAATGAACGGATGGCTGAAAAGGTGGTGGGAACGCAGCGCTCTGTGCTCCGGCGCTCTCAGACTGAGACGTTAGAGAGGACAGCTCGTTTGGCATCACAGTCACTCTCTCCCTCCCTCCGTTTTACCCTCCTCCCATTGCTCCTCTTCACTCTCTTCTTCCCCTCTTGTTAATTGTTGCCAGCAGCTCCCCTCAAAGCCAATCATCTGCTTCCTTTTGGCTTGCTGCTGTTATGAATGCCAGTCTGTGTGAATCCAGCGAAAGTGCTTGTGTAACAGAGAGAGAGAGACACACACACACTACATGAAGATGTACATGTGTGTTTTTAAACTGACAGAGTGAGGAGGAGACATACTAACAATCAGAGGAACACCGGAGCATAGACAGAAGCCTCTGTTTTGAAAAGTCGGTGCATGTTGAATAAAGTACCAGTGATAAACACCGAAAACACTGGGGACACAATTAGATTTGTGCAGTGAAAGATCACTGTTTCTTAGTCATTAACTGCTTCATTTCGTCTTTTAGAGAAGTGTGACATTTAGAGGAAATGCTAAGCCTCTGAAGACTATCCACCGACTTGACTTAACCTTTACAGGATAATAGATTTTGGCTCTGCATCGTGTGACGTCTAAGCGCTTGAAAACAATTTAAAAATGTGTTTTTCACAGTGAAAGCTGCTGATTAACATTAGCATGTGTCTTACACGGCTGTAACTTGTCATGATCTGAACTTTTGTTTCTTAAAAGGAAGTGAAAAAAGTCTAAATGTCATAGATTGACATTTAGACTGTTTTCTCAACGCCAAAAAACACATGCGTTTCACATGTGCAAAAATCACATTTTAATTATGTGATCCAAGGGATCACACGTGATGAAATTTAATGATGAATTTTATAAATGATCCACATTTACAACATATTCAATTGATACCCATGTGAAATTTGAGAATGTAACCTATGTAAAACCCACAGTTTACATGTAATCCCAACTACCAGGTGATCATGTGGAACCCCCAGATTACATGTGATTCCCAGGCAAAACTCAAGTGCAGCTCAAAAACTTGTCATGACAATACTTTATCTTTATTATTTACATCTAAAGCTCAAGTGAAACCCAGAAATCACATTTAATGCCTATTTGAAACCCATAAATTGGGGACACTTGGTCTTTGTAGCCAAATAAATGAAAATAAAAACAAACCAAGCTAATGGAGCCAAACCCAAACTTATATTTTGCTTCCTCAGGAAACTCCCGTTTTGGTCTCAACCAACTCGGCTCTGCCTGTTCGTTTGCTTTTGCTTTCACCATCAAAAACATCCATCCTTTATCCAACACGCTTATCCCTACTGAGGTCATGAGAGATGTTGACCCTTTGAAAACATGCTTAGTAAAAAAAAAAAAAAACTGTGTTGACATTTTCTGATAATTACTTTTTAAAGAGTGCAGCATTTCAAAAGTGGCTTGTTTAAAAGTAGATTAGGTCCGATTGTATTGCTTGACTTAATCAGTCACAGGGGGAGGGGGAAAAAATACTTGACCTAATTATGCCATGCTGTTCATGGACAGGGCCGCGTCCATGAACTGCTGTTGTTTGTTGCCTTGCAGTGAAAAGGTCGTGGGTTTGAACCCCAGCGATGTTTCTGAATGGACTCCTCACTGGGCATGCATGGTATTACAAATGAAAATGTTCCTTTAGACCGTTTATTCTGTACGATGATGGGATCTCATCAGCCAGCTTGTAACATGTCGTCAGCCTCTTTTACGTCAGACATTGTCAGACATTGGCTTTCAAAGCCAATGTCTCTGTCTGTGTATCCAGGACATTTTGTGTCTTTAGACTGTGGGATTACAGTGGGGCCCTGTCCTCGGATAAGACACTGAACCAACCTTTTGTTGAAATGCTCAACTTGTGTGCGAGGGAAAAAAGCGTTTTTTTTCCCTCGCACACAATAATTTCTCTTTTGAAATTATTCTCCATGTTGTTTTGAAGTTACGCCAGGGAGTTACGCATCCTTAACCAGTCAGACTGACACAGGCATCAGCTTCAGCTAACACTTAGCCAGGATACATGGAAGATGTTCAGCTGAGAAAATGGCAACCCTCCCACTGAAAAGAAACACTGATATAAAACATGAACAAGATTACAATAAAAATTCTGTATACTTGAAAAAACTACAACCCAAGAGTGGGCATAAGGTGTTTTAAAACTCTTCTTATATTGTCTTATAAAATTGTTTACCAACTTAACCCCAGTGTACACATATTTATGATGTCTGACATGTTGGGCCTCCCAGACTAAACTAGCTTTGGGAAACTTTTGTCCCATCCTGCTAACATTGTCCTTAAGATGAGCATTCATTTCATTATGTGTGAAAAATATATTAGTTTAGGATTAATTATCTGTCATAGTTTATGTCATAGTTTTGTTTTTCTCACAGGTTCTAATTAACTCGTGTTCAAGCTGGAAATTAGGATTCTTGTAGAACAACAGACTCTCTGCTTTCGTGAAAAAAGTGAAGAAGAAAATGTATCTTGTTTCCGTCGTCCAGTGGCGTGCAAATACGTAAACATGTCATCACCTCTCTTTTTCTCGGTTTTGCCTATACAATAAACAAAAATAGTTTGCTTTTTTTGCATTTTCATATTTATTTTGCAATATAACAACTGAAACTACGGAGGAAATTCTTTCAGACTCCATAAAGTGACGCTGTCTTTAAGTTTAAATCTGTGCTTTCTGACACAAACGTGTGTTTTTTTTTATCAACACAATGTACATTATGGAATGTTGTTCTCATATATGACGGCTTTTTTCATAATGAACAAACAGTCTACTACGAACAAACACAAGAAAGTCTGACTTCCAGCAGTGGTTTAAATTTTCTGCTTGCGGAAGCGACTAATGGCAAAAACACTGTCGTCTTTCTCTCTTTTTATATGCAAGTAATTCTTGACGTCTCTGATGCGTTTTCTGTTTGGGTCGCTCTGTGAGGTGCAAAGTAGGCCAAAGCGCCTGGGGATCCTGTGAGCACTTTGACAACTTCCACATCCCGTCTAAGCTGCTCCCCAGACGTGTGAAGGCAGTATTTAGGGCACAGCCCCGCACTGTGATCCCTTTTAACAGCAGAAAGTCTGTCTGAAATCTAAGAGCATGAAATTTAGCAGTGAACAACGAAAGTGATGAAGCCGTCGACATGTGAAGGAGAGAAAAACAAAATACAGACAGGTTCAAAACTGGGCTTATGAGGTAACTGGGTGCTCGGCACGCATCGAGTTATTTCTAGTTCGGTAAAAATAAGGCATGAAGAAAACTACTGCCCACCTATTATCCTTGTTGCTACCTCTGTTACCAGCCAACAGCTTGCACAAGCTGAAGCTATGATGGTAAAAGGCAGAGGAAGAAAGAGCGAGGAAAGGGAAGTCGGACAGAAACAAAAAAAACGCCTAAGCCGAAGCTGAATGGCCGGGCATTTTGTCCGTGTGCGTCTCAATGGGCAACTCACAAAGTGTGTTAATTCAGCCGGCTCAAAGCGTCGGGAAGAGAGGCTTTCCCAAACTGGCAAACAAATCCCTTCCAAAGCTTAATTAATATTCCAGGGACAATTCTCTGCTCTTTGTGCTGCAAAGTGAACAGCAGAATGACAGCAGGTTCAGGTTCAAGGTGCAGATGTTAAGTTCACAGTTTGTCTGAGCTCTGTGTTCTGGTTATTGTTTTCAGTCATTCCTTTACTCGGTATTTTAGGTCACTGGATTTCTCTGTTGCTTGCGCTTCGCTTCCTTCTGTTCAGACAGTTTGCTCTTTTTGTTTTGTGTGTGTGTGTGTGTGTGTTTTTTTTTCACTTGGAAGAGACTGTGGCTCAGTGAGTAGAGTAGATTTTATGCAATCAAAAGCGGGTTTTAGTGGGTTATAGGTTGCAAACCTACTAAAACAAAATTAGTTTGTTGGAGTTATATCATTTGGTCTGTATGAAAATAAGTGTTTGGTCATAAAAAGAAAAAAAAATCACTTCAAAGAAAAAAAATTCACAAGGTTGAAAGCACTTGTTGGCCGCAAATATTTGATTTTATTTTTACCTGCTTATCAATGAAATAAACAGCTGATATTAGATGTTTTTATTTATTTATTTTTTATTTCTGGATGGGTCTCTGTTCATTTTGCAGGCACATAGTTACATTTTATAGCACAATCATATGTTACCTTCATTTGTTCTAAAAATGCTGTACATATCAAACATGACTTAAAAGAAATTTTTCCAATTTGACGCCTTGAAATTGGTCTCTGTCTCTTTAAGAAGCTGCAGCTCTTTCCGATGATGACAGCTGCAGATTCCCACAGATTTTCTGCATAATTGGATTCAATGCTGACCTTCTTTGACTCGAGCAAGTTGATGTGAAATTGATTTTCTTTGACGGCTTTTCAAATTTGGGGTTTCAATGAATAAAACCCAAACTACGATTTCTATTAGCAAAGTTAGCTGCTGCTCAGATGTCCATCTTGATGATCTTTAGGTACTTCGGTGTCTCTCATTTACATGCCAACGCTGGATGGAGTCTGTTCTTGTGGACTTTGCTAAATGACAGGCTTCGGATACGAAGCCTTTATCATGGGCTTCTAAGCTTACTGTCGCTACCTGTGGCATCAGCTCTGGGCTCATAAACACAAATCTCACTAAACACAGAGTATGTCCTCCTCATCAACAGATGCCCACAAAAACAGCTTTCATAAGCTCATAATTTTCATTCTGTGCTTACTAGACAGGTGAGTACACTAAGAAAGGGCAGACGTTTTGGGACTTCTAACACATATCGCTCACCAAAGCTCCACTAATAGCTTATTTATACTATTGAAATATTTCTGCAGTACATTTGTGATTCCATTTAATAACTTAGACCACTTGCTAACCCCACAACTAGCTCTTCAGCAGCTTAACGTTAAGCAGCCAGATGGAAAGGTACAGTTTGCTTGTGATTTGGTCTACATGCAGCAACATTAGAGTTAGAAGAAGAGAAGAAAAATGAATCATGTTCAGTAATAAAAGGTGAAGCTATCAGAAGAAGCAGTTATGTAACTAAACATATACTTTGGCTACCATTGAAGAGAGGCCCAAAGTAAATCACACAGACTTACATTCTCTAGCAAGTATTTAGACTTATATGTTGAATCTCCTTCTTTTTCTAGAACTTTTCTAGTTAATGGGTTTTGTGGTAAAAGTCGAAATAGTTATGTTCACCGTTTACTCTGTGGAGTACGGATGCAGGCGTAAACATCTTCCTTTTTCCTTCGTCATTCGTCTGTGGCTGTTTGTTCAATGTAGACAATCAGCCAAGTTCTTAATAATGCCAACTGAAGGAAGAAGACTTTTCTCTTGGGAGAAGACTGGATATGTAACGGTAGTAATTACCTGAGAGTCACTCCTTAGTTATTCCTCCGGAGCTCTCCCACAGTCTTTCAGCCCTTCCTCTCCGACTGCTGTATAGTGCGACATGTTTGCTCACAACAAAGCAGCAAAAGGAAATGGTTGGATCCCAAAAGCAGTAGTTGTGCTGCTGCGGTGAAGCGGTGAATGAATACCTACAGCGCAAGTTTTCATGTCCCTTAAACCTATCAGTCACCAACGCCAACTGGTTTTTACTCAGATTGTGTTGCGACAGACTAACAACAGAAGAGCAAATAGCGAGGCAAAGGGATAAAGTCAGACAGTGTTCAACATTTTCTACAGATTAAAGTCTGAAAAGCACAATTACAACAGCATGTCTAGCAGAGAAGAACATCAATACCCATTCTCCTGGGCCAAATTGCTTAAGATCTGTCAGCTTAAATGGAGAGTCTGCATGTCGAAGTTAAACCTTTAACTCCAGTCCAAAGTCTTCTGTGGCCTCTGATAGGTTTTCATCCAGGATTGTTTGGTATTAAGTTGTATCCATTAAGCTTGACCAGTCCCTATCAAAGAAACAGCTGGACGTACACTGACATTATTATACTCGGTTGAACACTGTTTAATAATTGCTGACATCTAAAGGCCATTGTGTCATACAGGAGGCAGAAGTGGAACTGAATGCATCTGAACACTACACTTTCTAGATTGTTTTACAGCATTTAATATCGGAAAACATGTCTCATCTTCATTTCAATTTACAATTATATATCAATTTATGTTGGTCCATCACAAAAAAAACCCCAACAACCTCCCATTAAGTTCATTAAGACTAGAAAGGTCACCATAATATGTTGTTGATGTGGTGAGTTTTTTAAAACATGCTATAGATATATTTATTTTTTCGTCTCTGTTGGAATTGTTACCTCACACACCCATCGATTGCTCATTTAGAGCCATAACTCTGGGAGATGTAATTAGAGTATCTGCTCTGGTGGACACAAAAGAACACGTTGCGTTGCTGTGGCCGCCAGCAGTTCATAACCACGCTATGGTAGCTGATAAAAAAGAACAAAACGGAGGAGCAGTCATTATGTTACGACAGCACAGGCAGCTACCATCCTTCGCACGCACCAGATAGGGCCGGTCAGCATGTTCCACTTAGGTTACATTAATATTTACTGACTATGAACTGAAGATAGACCAAATTCAATTGGAAAAGAAGTGCATGTTGGATATTGTAATTCCTGAAAGAGATGCCTCGGAGGATTTCTGCCAATATGAGGGAACGTCTGCTTTTAAATGAGCTGTTGAGAAACAAGTTATTTTTGTCACGGCCACCTGCTGCTCCCCCCGAGTGACTCAGCTATTGAAGACGAGAGCAGGTCCAGAAATCAACCTGACATTTTTCCTCCTGCTGCATGCGGCGTTCTGCTGGAAACATGTTTGTCGTCCATTGCTTTGCATCATCATCATCATCATGCCGCCGCTCTATTGCTGGCGGCTTCCTGGAAACTGCTGATGGAGCCGAGCCTCACAGCATGCACTGTTATTTTCTCTTCAGTTGCATCATTTGACTCAACAATTTACATGATTCTACCGTTATGATCCCCTCTGCAGTTACCGTCCAACATGAGCATTAGAGGGTATTATGTGTTCTCCAGGCACGTAGTGCAATTTAACAGCACAAGCAAGTAATTATGTTAACTTCAGTTGTTAAAAGAAAATCCTATAAATATCGACTATGACTTAAAAGAAATTTTACTTTGCTGCACCTGTTGATATTGTTATGGCGACTGTGTTTTGTTACATTGTACAGCTCTAAGATGTGTTTAAATCATGCCATGGATTAAGTCTATAAGAGCTGTCCAATCAGGATGCAGTGAAAATATGACATATCCTGTTTTACAAGGAATTCATATTGGATTAAACCAGAAGATCTGTCTTGGCTGATATATTGTGTATGAAATGACAATAACCATAAAAAACCCTTATATTTTCCCAGTCAAATGTACATGTTCAAATTTCAAATATCAGCTTTAAGCTAGCTTGGTTTTCTTCCACACTCTAAAAAGATGCAATGGATTTGAGCCAAAGCTCAAAAACGGACTTTCTATTGCATTTATAGCTGGCATGATTGTTTGTCTCATGACTTTGGACTCAAACATCCAGGACTTGAGTAAGTTTGATGCTCCTCAAAGTGCTTCCAATTTAATTTGATGGTTAGATGAGGGCTGGAGTTCATGTGACGTTCATCCTCACATGTTCCTGTCGACACAGCAAACTCCCTGATGGTTTCTTTTCTGTGCAAATCCACGCAGCTCAGCGTGATAGGTCAGGCTGTTCCCTGACATTTAAACCAGCCGCCTGGTTTAATCAGTGCTACGGGCACTTGCTCCGACTCCACATGGTAATTATGTGACAATTTCATTTCTGTGTGTGCACGATGATTTGGTTCTTGACGGGCCCCTTCGGTGCATCGTATAATCGTACTGGGGGATGGCTGCAGCTTAAATGCTTCACCACAGAGGAGATTTTGGTTGCTGACGTTTGCATAAGAGATTATTTTGAATTTTATTGTGCAGGTATGACAAGAAAATGTAGTGTACCTGCATGCAGAGGAGGTTGTTTTTTCCACCTGCATGTTACAGAGACACACTGATTTTTAAAATTTATTCCTGTTTATTATCTCTTAGATTTTGATTTTTCTTTTTCAAAATAAATTTATTCTTGGACTTGTGTGCCTTCAGTCATATGAATACAGCTGGTTTCCAGCCAGTTATTTTCTCTATCTTGCTCTCAACACATCAGTGTCTAGCACCAAGACAAGTCCTGCTGCGGGTACTGAGTAATACAAAGTCAACACAATCCCATGGGACATTCTGCAAATGCAGAATGTCTTCCTGTAAGCAGCTGAGAAACATTTACATTTTTATTACATTTCATCCTTTCCTTCATTATGCGTCTTTGCAGCTCTGAGCTGCACTCTCTCCATTTTTAAGTCCCTGCCCTGTAGCTTTATGTCAGAAAGTCGAGGAAATGCTTTCGAGAACAACAGTTCTGCTGGTTGTAATGTAGAACTTATGAATTATTCGTGCGTATTTGCACTTTTATTTCTTTAAATTGACATTTTAATCATTTGTTTTTCGCCTGAAATCCAGATTGCATTGTTCACTGATACTCCAGAGCACAGGGTTGGGGTTGTGACTGGAAGCAACCCTCTGCCAAAATCCCAAAGAGAAGTAAAACAGAAGGACGGAGATTTGCAATGGCCATGCTCAACGTCAAGCAGCAGTGACTGAGTCGGATGCATGAACTGAAATGTGGAGCTTATCCTCGACCAGCAGCCAAGCCGCCTCCTGCTGTGAAACTGGGATTGCTTGTGGAAAGAGTCGAGTGAACAAGATGAGGTGATTATTTTTTTTGTACCCATTCTGAAGCTCATTTGGATGTGCATAATAGCAGCTGATGGATTACTTCCCTCCTCTCTTATCCTGATGAGGAGTTTGGAGCTTTAGTCTTTCTGATCAAAAAAAATGATGTGAAATGGAAACAAAATCTAAATATTCAGCCAATAGAGCAAAGAATCGAAGATAATTTCAGGTTTATAACTGTTTATTTCTGTACCAGAATTCACGTTAATACAGTGAAGCATATTTAATTTCACACGAGAGACGTACATAGTTATCAGCTAGAATCCCATCAAATCTTTAAAATAAAATAAAAAATATATTATGGGAGGGCCTTCCTTTGTTGTCTCGATTCACACTTCACAATACTTTACAAAGAAAAAAAAACATAATAATGCAAAGTATAGAAAACCATGAGCTAGAAAATACATAAATTAATGTTCTGCAGTTTGATTTCCATCAGTTCATATCAATTAATATTTGGAGCACTGAAGGTATTCACAAAACATAATAGACCTCTCTGGCACAATTATTTGTACCAAAACAACCCATCTAAAGTAAAAGTCATTAAAGCATTTATTTATTTATTTATCTGTTTATTTGTGTATTTATTTATTTACCAGAGCATTGTGGAAATGCCCTAAACTCCCAAGCTAATCTAAAATAAAAAGAAGAAACAACCAGAATACAAATCTGGAAGATATGTAACTGTAATCTGAAATCTCCATTTTAATAAACATAATCCTTCAGCGCCATCTGTTGGCTGGAAGACTGCAACACATAACTGTTAAAAGAAACCCCGAGATACATATAGGTTTTACAATTGTACACATGAATGGATTCCTGATTAAATTAGTCTATCTTTTCATAAATTATATTTGTGTGATACTATTGATTGTTCCAGTCTCATAAAATGTTCACCAAGCTTGTTACAAAATGTATCACCAAAAGCTTAAACAATCTGATTAAATCAAGCAACTCTTGATTTTTTTAAATTTGCTATTAACATAGGTGTGGCCAAGTCATTGTTTTGATGTTGCTAAAAAAAACAACCTTAAAACCAAAACAGCCAGTGTGAAAGTCCAAGTCAAGTCCCGAGCCTTTTGTGATTTTACTAACTCGACAATAGTCTTTAAATTTGTGTCTTGAGATCAAGTCAATTTCAAGACTTGTAACCCAACTAAGAAACATAAAACTCAGACAACGCAGTTCAAAGTGATTCAATTTATTTATCTAAAGAAACCAGCTGATTGCAGTCATTTTGTGACGCAATCCCCCATCGTGAGCAAGCGCTGGGCGACAGTGGGGAGGAAAAACTCCCTTTTAACAGGAAGAAACCTCGAGCAGAACCAGGCTCAGGATGGGCGGCCATCTGCCTCGACCGGCTGGGGAGTGGAGGTCCAAGCCGGGGCTTCTGGAGCTAAGAAGAGAACACATAGAGTTAATGGCGGTGTAGTGTTGTTGAACACACATGATGAGAGAAGAAAACAAAGAGAGGAGACATTGTACCTGCGACAAACAAATACATATGTAATGCTAATGTTTTGTTTTAATTAGCATTAAGTGGGAAATTTAGTCTAGCTTAGCACATTAGCTGGAAGAAATTACAGGTATTTTGTATTTTGTCCTGAAATTACAGGTATAATTTAGCAAACCTGTATTAAATGTATGTCTTTCCTTTCCTGTTCCTTTAAAACAATAGGTTTGCGAAACCTATTGTTTTAAAATATCATTTGATTTTTTTGGGGTGGGGAAACCAGAGCACCTGGAGAAAACCCATTCAGTTACCTTGAGGATGACGAAGCATCCTGCAGTCCATTGGTTTGCTGCTAGTCACCAAGCTAAGCTAATACTCTAAACACCCTTTTACCCCTACAGAGGATCTGAATCTGACTGAAAACTTCCCCACTTGTGTCGTGGAGCTCCACGAAACTGAAAATACCACCAGTCAAGACAGATTTACACTTATGAACTGTTATTTGAATCAATAAAACTGTTGTAACAGTTTACATCCATTTATTTGATTAGTTTTATATGAATCTAGTCATATACAACTAAAGCATTAGTTTGTGTGATTGTGAACTGTGTACGTTCACAGCCACTCACAACTGAGGACAATTTAGAGTTAGCAGTTGAACTACCAGTCATGTTTTTGCACCGTGGGAGGAAGCCAGAGCACCTGGAGAGAACCCACGCATGCACAGTGGGAACATGGAAACTCCATGCAGAAAGACCTTGCTGTTCCACTGTGCAGCCCTTTCTTTCTCAAATTAACACTAAAAATTTATTTACTAAAATTAAGATGCTAACTTATTCCAATTGAACTATTAATGAATAATTAAGATTGTAAAGATTTACGCTTTTATGCCCTCCAAAATTAATTTTACAGTGAAAATCTAATGATTCTGCTGGTATTTTTTGTTAAACTACATATTCCACACAACAAGTTTGAATGAATGTTTTCAGCTTGATTGAACTCGTGTAGATGTACTTACCTCCATACTTACCTCCATAACTCTTAAGGCCCAACCAAAACCAGTGGATCTGGTTTTGGTTGGGCCAAAAGCACAGAAACACAGTTAGTGAGAAATCATAAACTCCAGAGAAAACTGAGGTGTGAGTTCAGTGATTTTATGGAGGGACACAGTAGTCATCTGCTGTGGTTAAGCCTATCAGAGCCTTTATCAACTCAAGTGGATCCATTATTATCCCTTTGCAGTATCCACTGGAGGCCTGTGAATGAGAGGAGACTTAGACATGATTTGACTTATGTTTGTATAGTGAGAATAAAAAGATGTAATGTTGACAACATACCATGTCTGCTGCAATAGAGGAAGCAGGAGACTCTTCAGGTGTGAACTCCATAGCATAAATCGGGTAAGCCAGAGCTGATGAATGAGCAGAGACAAAGCAGAAGACAGCCAGGTCAATGACGTTTACTTCAAAACACAGAATCTACAATTTTTGTTTAATGAGGAAGTACCAAAAATTAGGAGGCATGTGACGACAAACAAGAAAATGTTCTCCCTGCGCTTATTTCTGGGGGACCGTCTACGAGCGGCGGTCCTCCTTCTGTTTTCCAAGTGGGCATTTTCTTCTCTTATCATCCCTGCTTCAGTGTTCATGGTGAAGCCTGTGCGTGGGACGGGTTCTGCGTATGACTCTCTGGCCGATTCTACGTATGGGATGGTTTCTGCATCTGAGTCCATGTCCATGTCTACGTATGGGATGGTTTCTGCATCTGAGTCCCTGTCTATGTCTACGTATGGGATGGTTTCTGCGTCGGAGTCGTTCTCCATGTCCCAGCCCATGTTCATGCAAGGGATGTGGTCTGGTATAGAGTATGTGCCGAAGTTGGAACATCTAGAACTCCTTTTCTTCCTGAAGACTCTGCATGGGTCAAATAAAACAAGTGAAAATAGTTACATTGGGATTATTGAGTTAAAAATATGCATAAAGGTGGACATATTGCTCGTCCAGCTTACCTATAAGAATACTCCTTGTAGGAGATGGTCGGCACTCCCTCCGAGTTGTAGTAACCCGAAGATTGTAGTCGAGCGCTTCTTCTCAACATGACTGTAAATGGAAAGGGATACACAAAGAGACGGTGAGTGATTTGCTGACGCACAGCACGCTTCTATTCTATACAATAGGCCACAAGTTAGTCAGAAGGAGTTTCACCAAGAAACTGTAAAACAAAAACTGATCAGAAAACTTGCACAGAAACCTAGCACACCTTTTAATATAAATTTACAAAAAAAAGAAACAGTTAAAACAGACAAAAATATCACTTTCATATTCATTAGGTTAGAGCATGTATATTCTGTTCTAAATTAAAACAAATCTGCAATTTCTTACATTGTTTATATTATTCATCATCGTACAAAAGACCTAAAAGCATTTAGTTGAATGAAACTTTTACTGTGATAACAGAAAAGCCTTTTTGTACTAACTTTTACTAACGTTTTTTCTCCATTTCATATTTTAAATATACAGCTTTTTCTGCACACATCGTGTTCTAAACCTGAATTACACCCTGCAAGAAGTCCACATAGCTCACATTATACTTACTTTGTTTCAATCTAGTAAGAAGCTGCAGAGAAAATCTCTTCTTGTGAAAATAAAAATGGTAATAATCACTACTCTAAAAGTATTCAACGGTTTTAACAAGGGCAGATTGCTAAATCTAATCTTGTCCAACTTCTCCAAAGGCGTTATTCCTTCTGTCTGGAACGTCGACTGAACAGAGAAACCTGTTGCGTTAAGTTCTCAAACGAGTCACGTCGAAGTCAGATTTTACGCAAGATTCGACAGTCACATGTACACAAACGCGACAGAAATTATTTTTGAGGAGGCAGAGTGAAGGGATCGTTTATTATTATTATTATTTGATGTGGTGAATCGTTTATTATTATTATTATTTGATGTGGTGAAATCCGCCACATGATGGCGCTGGAGTAATGAAGATGTTGCAAATCCTGAATAATTAATAAAAGTTTCGTTACTCACATAACGCAGTACAGTTAGCATTTTATGTTTTTATGTTTTAAGTGAGAGGACTAGTGTTTCTAAGGTTTCCCACGTGTGTGCGCGCTCACATTAAGATAATAGAAATACATCTCTCCACTCACATTTGGAAAGAAGCAACTTGATTAAAAAAAAAAAAAAGTGTTTCTTTGTCAATATAGCGTTTTTGTCCGAATAGCACTCAGGGACTTTAGTTTTATATTGAACCTAAATAATACGACTATTTTTTGCTATATTCTGTAAGGATGTATTGTTTAACTACAGTAAATGAATGTGAGGAGGTCATTGTTTACTACAGTAAGAGCTAAAATAAAAATAATAAACATGAGTATAACGAAGCACATAAGATATAAAAAAAGAAAACTCCAAAGCCACATTCAATATGGCGGACGCGCTGACGTATCTCAGCAATGGGGCATTCGTGCTCGTGCATTGGTGTGTTTGCTACGTGCCTACGCTCGTGGACGCACTAGCTGAGCTGCTGATTCGTGAGCGCGCTTCGTCCTTGTAACGTGTATGGGACGAACCAGAGACGTGGATGAAGGTAAGGCCAGAGCGGTGTGTCTGTCGGCATCTTACAGAGGGCAGCTGCTCTCTGATAACAAGCGGGCGTCTATGTCTGCCGAGCCGGGTCGGGTTTTGTGTGCTAAATATTGAGGCCTAGAGATACAGAGAGCTGCTAAAACAAACCGATGTAGTTGTTTCCCTCACGAGCGCAGTAGCCCACTAAATATTCACCGGTTGGAAATTCCACATTTTCGCCTTTTGAGGCTCTTGAAGGTTTAAGCGTTTCTTTTACTAACGCTGGTCCTTTGAAGACAAGTTTTAAAGTTAATGTCCATTAATACGCTGTGATATCTCCAGGCTTACTGTGATAACCTCTGTAACTTAAAGGAACAGTTCCGATATTTTACCTGACCTTCCCAATTGTCAGCTTCAGCTTCTTTTTTATTCAGAAACCGGGAAGGTGTTTTTGGTGCAGACGTGTAGCCGTGTAGCCGAGAAGTTGGAGTTGCAGAAAAAATTCCTATAGGAGTTTTGTAATTGTAGATAATTTCAGACTTTCATAAATACAAAACGACTACTTCACCAAGGTTCAATTTCACAACTCACAAAATTTTAAAAGCCTGGTTCTAACTTTTTGCTCCACTCAGTCCAATACATTTGGAAACAAACTAATTTATACACCTTTCTTAATATCTTCACACAGACACATTAAAAACAAATCTTTTCAATACTGTACACATAAAAAGGGACTGTTTTATCATACCATAACAATAAACATGGATATTTTTTTTTATAATAATTTACACTCTACATGTTTTATTACTCTCAACATTTCCTGTTTTAGCAAACATGTTTAAATATTCTTAATTTAATCACAGCTGTGGATATACTTCTGTCTGGTGCACTGAACCACGGCTCAGTGTGGCTGCTTCTCGCTTCAGTCATGTTTGGTATGTTCTCATTTCCAGGCTGGTGTGAGGTTTCCCTCCTCTGTCCTTCCTTCTCGCACACAAGCAACACTCTCAGACGAACAGAGGTTCAAGGCTGCAAGGAGTTCTGCTTATGGAAAACCCTCCACCTCAACCGCCTGGCGGATGCTACAGCTTGCTACTTTGTCTTTTGCTGGCTATGATTTAAAGGCCAGAGGACCCAAATACAGGGCGAGAAAAAGGCTGTTAATACGTTACATTTTGATCAGTTGACTGTAGTCATGGCGGCCGCAGGCTACGGTTACTACCGTGTGGTCATCTTCCTGTGCATGTTCACTGGCTACTCACTGTATTTCTTTAACAGGAAGACATTCTCTTTTGTTATGCCGTCTGTGATGGAGGAGATAGAACTGGACAAAGACGACTTGGGTAAGGACCGATTACTTTTAAGCTGGCAACTATTACTACTTTTATGTGGCTATTGCTACAGTTTCCTGCTACACTTTACATTGGACTGATGAGACTTTCTTAATTTCCGATTCTGATTGTTCTTTTATTTTTTTTTTAAGTAACTTAACATACAAAAGTTAAAAAAAGTGCCTTATACAGAAAATAAAAAAATTATACCCATTTATGCATCTAAGCATATGTCTGACTATGCAGTCTCTGAGCTTTGCTAAACAATAAGAAGTCGTCGTCGTTACTTTATGTGTTTATAGGAAAAAATAGTAGGAAGTGTTATTTTATGTGCACAAAATAAATAGGAAAAATCTTATTTTTTAATTTTTTTATTGAAAATATTTTAATGTTTCACAGTCTTTAGACAGAGGCCTCTTCAGATTTGTTGCAAGACTGACTGCTACTGAAGATCCTTCTTGCCCACAGAATAACCATGCACAACAACTATTTGAAGATACTTGGATGACATGAGTTAGGACAACATTTAATTTTCCTTTGGGATAAATAAATAATTATTGAATTGGCACTTCTTTAATTTTTAGTAAAGTTGCTCTCTGATCTGATCATCCAAATAGTCTAACAAAGGACTGTTTAGATCAATGTTGAGTAGGCTAGACAATGTAGCTGTCTTTTTAATTATATTTTTATTTGTACAACAGATACTCATTAAATTTAACACTCCATGATCATAAAGATCAGCAAGAATGACTGAATAGTCAGAATGGATTAATTACAATTAATTGTAATTCTCACTTATAATTTTGCACTTTCAGGTTTTCCTACAGTTATGAATGAAGGTTGCATAAAGTTTCATGACATTCAGTTAAATTCTTGTCAACCAGTGAACGACTAAAGTGGTGATGGTGGTCTAAACGTCTCAATTGTTAGAAATAATCTAGAGATTTGTTCATCCTCAACTGTTAAGAAGTCAACATAGCTAATTAAATATGTTCCTTGAAGAGCCAGTTTGTTGCTTCAGCGGGGACCATTCCATTTTTCCTCTGCAGGTCTGATCACCAGCAGTCAAACCATGGCCTACGCCATCAGTAAGTTCATCAGCGGCGTGCTGTCGGACCAGATCAGCGCCCGCTGGCTTTTCTCCATCGGCCTCTTCTTGGTCGGAGGCATCAATGTGGCCTTCTCTTGGTCTTCAACTGTGTCCATGTTCTCCCTGCTCTGGTTCATCAACGGCCTGGGACAGGGCTGTGGGTGGCCCCCATGTGGGAAGGTGCTTCGGAAGGTAATATTATCCTGCCTGTTGGATCATAAATCACTGGTCTGAGAGCCGTTAGCTGGACTTGTGTTGGCGTTATTGCCTCACATTTAGACAATGTAAATGAAGGAAATGCTAAAAGTACGCTGACAGAGGAAAAAACTATTAATCAGCTTAAGAAGCAAGAGGATTTGGTCTGATTTGGGAGTAGCTTTGTTGGCACAACATTGACTCGTATGAACATGTTTTGATTTGTAAGGATCTCTTCAAATTTTTCTGCAATGAACACCAGTGGGTAGAAATAGAAATGCAGTAATCTGTCAACTTGAGACTGGAATTTGACCTTTTTTTTTCTTGATCAGCCTGGATCAGTGTCGCCATTCTTTTCTTCTGTATATATAATGCACTGAAATTCCACCATTATCTCAACCATCAACAGCAAGTATTTAGATACGTCACATAAAAAAAATGTGTAAAGGTTAGAGATATAAAGTGCCAAGTTTTTTTCTCTCTTTTTAAAATCATGTTTAAATGTTTCAGATCATTAAGCTAATTTAGTGATAAACACAAGCAGATTAAATACAAAATTCAGCTTTAAATGATGATTTAATTCATTAAGGAAAATAACTATCAAAAAACAACCTGGCCCTATGGGGAAATATTATTCCTACCCAAATAAGTCGTAGCACCCTTGGTTACCTCCTCTGTATCAAGTGTCTCCAATTTGAACACAAACATCATGTTTAAGTGTAGCATCTCAATAGAAAATTAGCTTAAAGCTGCAGTATGTAACTTTGATAAAAATATATTTTTACATACATGTTGAAACTGTCACTATGACAGTATGGTATGAGACAGACAATCTGTGAAAAAATTAGTTCTCCTCTTCCTTCTCCCAGTGCTTCCAGTTCTAACAAGAAACAACCAATCAAAGCCAGGAGGAGGGTCTTGGCACCGTCAATCATGGCCGTGTAAATGCTGCTCACAACTTTCTCTCCCCTCCTTGCTCTTGACTACGATATAGTTCCCCCCCCATCAGCAAAGACTGTCATGAATGTTAAGGTTAGTTAGCACCACCAATCACGGCAGACAGTGGTTTTCCTGAAACGGTGAGGTTTTGAGATTCTAATTGGTGGTTTGTTTAATTTCCCTCTGGGATTTATAAGTCTTCCTGAATGTAATTGAACTAATCAGCTGTTCCCAGTTTCCTGTCGGGTTGAGTAGCTTCAAACTGCTGGTGTCTCCTTTCTGTTTCTTTTGGAGCTTTTTTGTAAAAAAAAAAAAATCTATTCATCTTCACATTGAACATTAATGTAAACAAAGAAATGAAGAGAATTGTTGAAAACCCTCACCGTCTACTTCATGAGACTGAATTAGAAAAACAGAGTGTCTTCAGTCAGAGGCTTCTTAAGGGACGCCGAAGAACAGATCGCTACAGGAGATCTTCCCTGTCCGCAGCCATCATCATCTACAACCACTCTTTGAAGGATTTTGAACTACTATGAGTTACAGCAACATTTAATTTCCCTCTGGGCTCAATTACGTATTTTTGAATTTGAATTTGAAACTTGACAAGTCCAATATTTTGGAGCTCGCAGGCTGTTCATGACGCCTGTTGTCTGTCCGGAGACGCCACCTGCTGAGAAAAATACGTTTGAAGTCTCAGCTGTACATACACCCACATGTTAATTGTGGATTATATTTGGAGAGGCCGCGGCCTGTAGGCACGAAGCAGTGCTGACATTTAGAAGCGGGGCAGCAGTGTTTGGTCTGAGCTGATCTCAGCCTCCTGTATGAAGTGTTGATTGTCCAGGACGAAAGCAGGAAAGCCGGCAGCAGTTTGAGAAATTAAAGGATTACCTAATAATCTGCTAAGGTCTCATCTATAAATAGCTGTCGGATTTCTTCCATGCATATTTTTAACTCTCGGTAGGTCTGAATATTAATTAGACATTTCCAGGTGTTTGTCTGTTGAAGAAAACAAATGGATCATATTGTTAGAAATGACTCGTGGATTTGAATGACTGAAGCAGCAAAAAAAACAAAAAAACAATTTGTTGGCATGTGTTCAGCGTATGGTGGTGGTGGTGGGGAGGTCAGATTACAGGACAGTGTGTATTTATAGATAACTCTAAGTAGATCTACAGAAAAGAAGAGCAAATTTGCTAAAAGACTCCTTCCCCCAGTTTTGTGTGCAAATATATTTAGCAGTTCTAACTGTGCAGGACAGCTAAACTGAAGTCGAAGCTATGGATCAACATGGTGTTAACTAAGTCTGTGGCTACCTTAGGCGTATTCCCAGCAGTTTCTCAGGTTACTGCTTTACTGGGTATGCTGTGCAAGGGGCTTTCGTAGCTGCCTTTTAACCGAGTTACTGCCTGGGGGCATGTGGCTCTTATTTCATCCTGCTTTTTCTCTTAGAGCAACAAAATGAAAGAAAAAAACTTTTTAACAGCCAATCTGTTCAAGGAAGGATGATTTTAGCCAGGTAGCATCTTTTAGCAACAGCTGCTCTGATTTTCTTAGCAAGTCGGTGCCAGGATAATGTCCATATTCATAAGGACATGGCTTCACTGTAGCAGCCTGCAGGAACTGGCACCTGAACCCGCAGTTCAAAGGTCAGTTGTATGGAATGAGATTAGTGACTTAGTGAGGTGATTTCAGGCTCAATCCTGTGTTTTCAGTACCAGAAAAAAGGTTCAGTTCTTTTCCATGGTTTACACTTTTGGCAGGTTATGTTGGAAATCTAATCTAAGCAGCAGATTATGTTTGACAATACTTCATGGGGACACGTTTCACTATATTCACAGCGGCTTTAGAGGTTGAAATATTTTGCCAATTCTTCATTCAGAAGCAGCTCATGCTGAGTCAGTTAGAATAAAGAACATCTTTGAACAGCAATTTTACACATATTCTCAGTTGGATTAGAATCTGGACTTTAACTAGGCCATTCTAATACATGAATAGGGTTTGATCTAAGCTATTTTAGCTCTGGCTCTGGTTGTTCACCTGCTGAATGGTGAACCTCCACCCCTGTCTTTAATCTTTACTGATTCTAACAGGTTTTCTTCCAGGATTGTCCTGTATTCAGCGCCACAAATTTCTGGCCAGCTGTCCTGTCCCCACTGAAGAAAACATCCCACAGTAAAGCCTGGTGCTGCTGTCACCAGGCCTCACTGTGAAGCTGGTGGTTTCAGGGTGATGTTTAGTTAGTTTTCCTCCATAGAAACTATTATGTATGCAGCTTAAAAAATAATATTTTGGTCTCAAATAAGCAGACCGAGCATCTGCTTCCTCATGTTTACTGTCTCCTTTACAGGGAATTTCTTATGCAAAGCTCCAAAAATACATACATAATTCTGTCCCTTTAAAGCTGCAGTATATAACGTTTTTAGAAAAATATGTTTTTTACCTATTTGTGAAATACACAAATGGGTACATCATGTCGCTACATCATGACATGTCTCATGTAGTAAGAAGCAGATGATCTGTGAAAAAAAATCGAGCTCCTCTGCCTTCTCCCGTGTTTCTACTGTCATCTGCAGAAATATACCGCTCAGCCATAAACAACCAATCGGAGCCAGGAGGAAGGTCTTAGTGCTGCCAATCACCCTTGTGTACATGCTGCTCATACCCTACAGCTGCCCTAATTACTTAAGCTAGCTAGCATGGTCTCCTCTGACGCTAGATAAATAGTTTTCTTGTTGTACTGAGTCATTTCTCCTCCATTAACTAGCAGCACATACACAAGCATGACTGATGGCACTAAAACCAGCCAGGGTTTCATTCTTTTTATTTTTTTTTTTTGTTTGTTTTATGACCGGGAGCGCTGCATTTCTGCAGACAAACCTCCTCCACTTCTGATATAATGTATTAAACTTCAGTATTTTTTCGCCTAACTTCAACGTTTGCTTCAAAAATAAATATTCTAGGTCAGATCTGAAGAAATTTTAACATCTCTCTGCGTCTCCTCCCCGCCAGTGGTATGAGCCATCCCAGTTTGGAACATGGTGGTCTGTGCTGTCCTGCAGCATGAACCTGGCTGGGAGTCTGGGTCCGCTCATGGTCACGGTGCTCCTGCAGTATTACGACTGGAGGACGATTCTGGCCATGTCTGGCGTGTTCTGTGCTGCCTTCTCATTGGTTTGTCTGGTATTCGTAAAGAACGAGCCGAAGGACGTGGGCCTTCCCAGCATCGAAGCTGCAGCTAAGAAGGGTGTGAAAGGAGGTAAGCAAAACACGTAAGCTGTTTTTCCTTTACAAATGCGCTCAAATCTTTTGTCGATATTCTGGTGTTTCCCTTACATAAGAAATTAACATCACACACAAATAAGCTGTTCCATTCGTTGAGTCATTAAAAATCATGGCAGCGACGGATGTAAAGAGTTAAATGAGGTATATTTATAATCCACCACTGGCTCCAGTGCTCATCCCCTGAGCAACGCTCTGGTGGAGCCAGCGGCTTATTGTCCAAAAGAAAAAAACAAACCATGATCCTCCTGCTACTTCCTGTCATCTTCCTCATGGTTTTTGCCAGAAGTAGCATTCGACTGTAGCCATGTAATGCGAAAAAATTGTTTCCATTGCAGTTTTATGATATACATCTATTTCGATAAAGTTGAAAAACCACCTCATCCTGGCGCGAAAACGTTTTATTGAAAAACGTGTTTTTTGAAATTGCCTCGTTTCCATTAAGTGAATGTATTTTCGTAATTTCAGTTGTGCATTTCTCTGGTTAATGGAAACACAGCTTGTGTTACTCTTATAATACAGTTCCACAGATTATAGACGTCCAGAAGGCGTAACTAAGATGTTTTACAGTGAGCTTACCTCTTGGTTATATGCTCTGCAGGCAACAGCGAGAGCACCCTCAGCGAATTTCTCCTCTCTCCCTTCCTGTGGGTCCTCTCTCTGGGCTACCTGGTTGTTTTTGGGGTGAAGACGGCAGCCACTGACTGGGGGCAGCTGTTCCTCATGCAGGAGAAAGGCCAAACGGCTCTCATGGGTGCGCATTCCCATTTCTCTCCTCATCTTTGATTGTTGGTTTAAGCTAACTGGTGCTGACCGAGGCTCTGTCGCCAACAGGCAGCACCTACATGAGTGCGCTGGAGGTCGGGGGGTTCGTCGGCAGCCTCTCGGCAGGTTTAATCTCGGACAGAGCCGTTGCCCGCGTAAGTACCACTAAGCAACGGGGCTTGCGGTTTCAGTGCTACTCTTGTTGAAATGTCTTCCCGTTGTGTTTCCTCAGAAAGGCTTGAGCACTCATGGCAACCCCCGTCATGGCCTGCTCATTCTCATGATGGCTGGCATGTATGTGTCCATGTATCTGTTCAGAGTGACCATCACACCTGAAGTACCAAAGGTAAGTCGAACGCGTGACGACATAATTTAAAATATGTAGAATCAACACAAGTCAGCTTGAAACAATCCTTTTGTTCAGGAAGCTCCTTTGTGGGTCCAGGCCATCCATCCGGTGTCTGTTCTGCTTGGAGTCTCAGAGAAAGAGGTACATTATGAAATGTTTTACCTTGTGTTTATGATGAACTTTACTGTGCAATTCTCATTTTAATTTGTGATTAATTGCATCAGGCTTACTTGGCACATCAGTGGACTGATGAGTTCTTAATGTTGGTTTCACTGACAGATTTGGATTCTCTTTCTGGGTGCCATGTTTGGGTTTTCTTCGTATGGACCAATCGCCTTGTACGGAGTGATAGCAAGCGAAAGTGCTCCTTCCAATTTCTGTGGAACGTCTCACGCCGTCGTCGCACTGATGGCAAACGGTAAGCTGCTGGGTCACGTGACCAGAAGTGACGTGTAGTAACGAAACTCTTTCATGTAACTGGAGTGTCTTTGTATTTGCCGCAGTGGGGGCTTTCATGGCAGGGCTTCCCTTCAGCACTGTCGCCAAGCAGCACAGCTGGGACACGGCCTTCTGGGTAGCTGAAGTCATAATGGGCATCACCACCATTGCGTTCTTCCTTGTGCGCAATATGCGCACCAAAATGGGACGAATCGCAGAGAAACTGGACTAGTGCATATTTTTTTAGGGGTCGAACTATTCACACAGTACAGCACAGTGATTTAATAGGAGCTTTATTGTACAAACTAATGCCAAACACAAATTAATCTGAAGATCTTTCCATTATAAATCTGTAGATACTCAAGGGGGCTGCAATTTAATCACTTTATATTTGTAATGAAATGGTCACTTAGACAGATTTAATCTTCACTAGCACCAGCATGGAGTCGATCACTTTTGTTCACAAGCTTCTGGACAGATCTCCGGACGTATGATGCTTTCTAAAGGAAGCCACTCTAGCTTGATTGTCTGTACTGATGTGTTGTTTTCTTTCTCAAGATGAATCATTTGTGCTGTTCACGGCATTAATTACCTAAAGAATGTGGCTATGCACCATTGAAAGTTTCAGTCGAATGTTTAGATCCATTGTGGAGATGAATGTCATATTAATATGGGGCTTTCACTGATTTATTTGGTGAAATTAATGAATAATATTCAACTGCAATGAGATTTACGAACACCAGGAAGACCAGGGTGCCTGGTCCAAAACCGACCCGTTCTCGCTTGACTGAAATTTGTAGCTTCCTAAACCTAAAGAACACTGAGCCACCTGTGAAGCACGGTGGTGGTAGTGTCATTCTGTGTGTCTTACTGTCAGCAGTAGGGATGCAATGCAATAAGTGGATTAGGCCTGAAACAATAAATGGATTCATCACATTAGTCACGATCAATCGATTATTGAAATAATCGTTGACTAAGTAATTGGTCAAATAACTAAATAATTAAAGCAGTAATTAAGCCAAAACTGTACTATTTATAATTATATAAAAATGTCTTAGCCAAAACTCTTCAGCTTTTAGATTTAGCTTCACCAGGTTTAGATTTAATAAAGGAATTCTGTTATTCCTTTTTAGCCAATAAGATGTTTATTTTCTTATTTAAAAAAGGAACTGAATTATTTATTTGGATCTTTTAATGTGTTTCTAGTGTTGTATAACAAATGTTTAAGTGGTTAAATGAAAAATCTACAAAAGGTGCCTTTTTTTAAATTTGATTACTCATCAGAATAATCGATTACTAAGATAATTGTTAATTTCTGTTAGCCCTAAAGTGGATAAAAATTATTTAACCTCCAAGTTCTTCCCACAGCTCTACCAGGAATGTAAAACTCTAGTGTTTGGGGAGGTTCGTGTCGTACAACATTTACAAAGAGATATTTATGTCTCTCCTTCAAAACTGCTGAGTGAATAAAGTAGGTCATTAGTGGGTCTCTTGGGGATGTTGGCCTAACAAAGTGTCTGAAACTGGCACCGGCCCCTTCGGAGGGAACTTTGAACCCCTTGAACCAGGTATGTGAAACATGAACAATGATTCATCAAAGCTTTTATTGGAATAATTAGGGCTCGAATAATTAAAGCAAAGCAAAATGTGATGTTCTTGAACGGCTTTCCCAAAGCCCCTACCTCAAGAGAAAAGTGTATGAATTATATTTAAAGGCTGGGTTTTGTCATGAAGCCAACCAGTTTTAGTGAGCTGCACCAAATCCTGCGTCAAAAACGCAATCACAACCAGAACTGGTTTAAAGAGAACCTTGCTAAACATCAATGCTGTTTAATTTTCAGAGAGAAAATCTGTAATAAATGTCAATGCATCGACAAAACGCAAAATAAAAAATAAATACATTAAGTTGTATAATCGTCTACCTTAGGGAAAAACTTTAAATAAGTACTTAAAAGCCCAAACTGAACAGAGCATTCATGTCCATGGTTGATTTATTTCTGAACTTTTGATTGGAACTGTTTATACTACATAATGTGTTTTCAACAGTCTGTCTCATCATTCACTTCATCAACACCAACTTCAATATTCAACAGATACATAGAAAACGTTTGATTTAATTTAGTTTTTCTTGTTGGATGATACTTAAATATCCCTATTTTGTGAAACAAAGCATGTTGGCTCAGAAAAACTAAATTGACCCCAGAAAACTTCATCACTTCAGTTTTTTTATTACTGAACAGGTGTCACTCTGTGTGGTGGTCTACTCATCTCAAAATTTAAGTTTTACATAGACTCTTACAGCCTTTCTGTGATTGTACAATAAACTTGAGATAAATACATATTTTTTTAAGTCAAAATGTCAAGTCTTCTTTTATTCATCTGTATTTTTAAAGATTTGTTTTTCATTTTTCCTCATAAACATAAAACTGTTGTCTTTTATTTCCAGGGTTTTGTACATAATCTGGAAAAATCAATGTGTGTCTTCCAGGTTTCATTAAGTATGAGAAAATAAGACGCTAGCCTTCCTGTGAACTTGCAAGGATAAGAGAGTATAGAGAACAGATGGAGTGTGGAAATGCAGATTTAGATTTATATACGCTCAGAATATTAAAGTGGAAGATGGAAAAGGATAAACATCATTTGTTTACTCAGGCTGAATCCTTATGTAGTTAGTGGTACCACGGAAAGCAACAATTCATCAAAAAGAGAAGCAGTTATTTAAGCTGCAAGCTACTGTGGAGCTGTCCATGGTCCTGAAATGGACCTCACGTGATTTTCTTGGTGCACAACTTGCAAAAGCACCACTCCAACCCTTAATTATAGTCAATGTGACAATTTCACCATCAACCTATGGTTTTCTTACGGATATAAGTGATAATGTTCTTTAGTAAATGCATCCAAACAATAAGAAATTATATCAAAAGTTCCTAGTTACAAAGAAAACACACAAAAATAAAAGTGTAGAATTTGGGCTCCACATATTTCACCAGAGAACTCAAATGTTTTCTCTTTGATAATAAGTAACTCTTAAATGCTACGGCTGAATTCAAAATTCGTTTTTTAAAGGAGATGAGGTTTATATCGTCAGTCTTTTTCACTGCTGCAGTTTTTGCATCAACTGTGTGGAATGAAACAGCATAACAGCTACCAACTGAGTTTTATTGGTTTAACAATTATCACACAAGTACAACTCTAGACAAATAATAAAAAAAACAAAACTGCACATGTGGATTTTGATACAGACACCTAAAACCACAGAAATATGGCTACTGTTGGTGTGAAAGTACAGTTTGTCTGTTGGCTTTAGAGAAGCCAGCCTCGGTAGTTTTGTCAGTGTAAGTCCTACGTTAGCATGGCTAAGAACAAGTTCCTTTTTCGCTGTCCTTACACCGTACCGTTACACACTGCGGATCGAGAAGTCTTTTCACAGCAGCTATACAAATTTATTGCGATGCTATCACACGACGGACACAACACATGCGATGCACAGTTTCAAATGGGAGAGCTGCAGAACTAGGAATATTAGGATTTATTGATTAGATTGGTTAAGAAAACTGCATGAATACAAGAATAACCAAATAGGAAAAAAACTTACAAACATTCTAAAACACTGTTTTTCAATATAAACAAGAAAACGATGAGTTGTACGGTGACATCCACCCCCGCCCCAGCACACACTACAAGCCGTCCCTTATAAAGCTCATGGAATGTACTCCACACAGGTAAGCTCTTCCAGTTGTTGCCCCCCCGACCCCCGCCAATCGTCAAGCTTCCATGTTTGACGCGCGGACCCACCCCGCACCCTCCCCTCCTTCACATTTAAAACTGAAATAAAATCCTCCGACAGTAACGACGACCGCAAATTTACGCTGATGCAAAATTGTTGGGCTTGATGAGTTTTTTTTTCTTTCTTCTTTTCCCTGTGTCCAAATTGGTGTTCTTTGTTTTGTTTTAAAAAAAAGTGTTCTCTACAATCAAACTACTAAAAAACCTGTATTTAGAAAATAGTTGATAAAAATATTCCCCTGAATTGTACAAGAAAAGAGGTACAGGGAGCACTGGTGTAAGACAGAGCCGGAGTGATGTTATTCAGCTGCCTCATCTTTTTGATCGGCTGCGTTCGTAGCGGGAGCCTGGAAACACAGAATATGCAGATTAGAAACGTCCCAGACGAGAGGAGATGGGTTTTGTCGATAAAGTTAAAACCCTCACCTCTTCCTCAGCTTTGGCTTCACCGTTTTCAGCTGGGGCCTCTGGTGCTTTTTCCTCAGGCTTGGCCTTTTCCACCTCGTTGGCTTTCTTGGCCTTAGCAGGTCCCTTCTACAAAAGAAAGTATCAAGCAAATCAGCCATTCTGAAATAATGGCACCTGCCCATATAAGTAAAAGGAAAAAATTCAAATCTACCTTTGGCTTGGGTTTGGCCTCTGCCTTTGCAGGTGCGGGTTTCTGTGAAAAGAAATGTAAAAAACAATTAACTGAAGCACTGTCAGCCATAAACATTTTAAGAGAGAGATGATGGGTTTTTCTGAACTTACATCTTTCAACCTAAGAGATCTCCTCTTGGGCTGTGGACAGAACACACAGTTTGATTACTTTTAAGATTCTTGCAGGACAAATGACACGACAAACTGGGCTGCTACTGACCCCTACTGGGTGGGTGGACAAACTGTTTCAGTAATTTTCTCCCCCCCAACATTTTATGTCCTACATCAAATTGTGCCGTCAGGATTTATTCTTACCGCTGACTCGCCTCCTGATGCTGCCTGTGAAGGAAGAGAGAGAAAAGAATAAAAACTTTTAGTCACATTTATTTTCAGTGGCTGTGTAGAAGATGTGAATATTTAGAATATTCACATTAATTCTTTATTAAAGATGAGGACATCTCCTTTCAGCCTGTATGACACTTTTCTAACAAATGTGCTTTAAAATGATCACCAAGGCATGCAGATAAAAAAAAAAATAAAAATAGAATAATCTAAAGAGGACTGCTGGGTGTGAATCACTTAAATTAAGATCTTGTTTTCCTTTGGGATTAATAAAGTATTTTTGAATATAATAACCCTTCAGTCGCTTTGTGATCATCCCAAATTGATGATTAAAAAAATCTAATCCCTTCCTGCAGGTGTGTAAACTCATTAACAAGCACAATTAGCTTTTATGCACTTTGCTTTGAGTTGACAATTAGATAAAGGCAGGATGGTGTGCAAATGGGGATAATCTTGTGACCCCTTCATTTTCAGATGGATTTAAAACGGATAGTAAACCTATCAGATTACTATCACTGATAGGTAATGGTGGCCAAAATTTAATGTCCAAAATGTGTTGTATTTCATCACTGAATCAAATCAAACACGACAAAATTGCAGCAGGTAAACCAAAATCGACATCAACTTGTAAAAGTGTGATTAGTGCATATTGGACTGATTTGTAAATCTAAAAAGCTCTTTGAGAAACTACTTCAGTAGAAATAATGGTGCGTTCTATGTAGTCGGATTTTCGAGTTTCAAGTAGAAAATAGAGTATGGCTTATTGAAGTTAAAGGTTCAGCAACGAGTTTAGTTCCAGTATGACTGCCGCGGATGTAAAAAAAAACAAACAAAACAAAAAGTAGTGAAAGCTTTTGGCATAAACCATCAGCATTTACTGCGCATAATGCTGCTCAATATGTATCGCTGAGAACAGCTCTCCTTGGTGTCTAAACTCGAACAACAAAAAGAAATCGATGTTTTTTTCATACTGCTAACGAGTATCACCATTACAAAGCACAAACTTCACTGGTTTTCCGGCAAGCGGCTAGCACGCGCTCGCTTTGGACATGACGTCATTTTCATATTCCGACGCCAATCAAACGCAGCATAAAGGTAGCCCATGAAAAGTGCGAAGGGAGAAACACTGAAGTGTGGAAGAGTTTGAAGTTGACTTTTTTCGTCGCACGGTGGCGCTCCTCCAGCTCCTGCTTGCCTACAGCAATTCCGGCAAGGAGGGAGAGGGAGGACTCCGCCTCCATCTTTTCTCTGGTAATAAATGGGACTGTGGCTGAACTGAGCGGCGGCGAGAGTGTTCCCGCCAGGAGTTTGAAAAGAGTCAGAGATGCTCAGTGACTCTGTCGGTCTGCTGCTAGCAGAATATGCTAGAACCCCCAGCAACAGGAGCAGCGCTACGATGACGGAGGCTCGCCATTGCATAACCTCCGAGTGGCCTGAGCCGTCCTGAACACAGGGAAGCACTCCGTTAACACGACGAATGCCGACTACACGTTAGTTTTCGCAGAGAAATGAGGGCAGCCACACGATAACATTCAAACGGGCAAACCAACAATGTTTTTATTTTCGAATTAAAGTCGAATTAAAGCTTTTAGTTGTATAAAAAAGTTCGCTCAAAATAACCCCCAACGGTTATCACGCTAATCCAATCAGATACATGCAATATTTCCACTTTTAATCATTCTGTCGTTTTCCCTCCATTAAACTTTGGCTTCCAGCGTGTCGACCCCCAGAGAAAACAATCAATATGCCGCCAACTTTCTCTGCAGAAACGCTGTCCAGCAATACAGTAGCCCGACGCAGCTCTTTCTGACACAAGAAGGCTTAAAGCTGCGCTACTACAGCTCTGAATCGGTACATTCTGTTGTGGCATAAGCACATTATGTTGTAAATCGAGAGAAAGATAGGCAGGCGGAGTGGGAATCACTTCGCATGAAGATAATCACTGCACGTAGGAACAACAAGCCATGCAACAGAAGCAACCACTACACACAAACGAAACTACAGCTTTACAAGCGCGTTCGCTCCGTGCACCAAACACGCATTTGCAACAGTATTTTAACAGCTCTGAACCTAACACGAAACCAGCTGAATTCACAATTGCAACAGTGTGTTATAATAAAACCTTATTACTAAATGGATGAAAGATATCAGTCTACTCACTTTGCTCCTTTTAGGCATTGTTGGTTTGTGTGGGGAGTTTTTTTTTAACTAAAAAAAAGGGGAAAAATAGCCGAATTAAAGTAAATTAAACAGAAAATACAGTGGTATATTCTGGATAAAGCTGTGCCAATACAGTCTAATACAGCGCAGCGAGACTTTACTGTTCCATTGGAAGGAAAAACTAGCTCAAACCGGATTGGATTCTTCCCCTCCCTCCCTATTCAAACCCTTTCGCTTCCTGCGTGATTGACGGCGTCAAACCCCGCCCCTTCCGCGTGCTGATTGGACGACAAGGTGGGGAACTGCACGATTTTAAATCTGTGCTCTTACCTGTGTGGATACGTCACATGCCAGTCAACAGACATGCTATGTGTCTCTGTGCAGCCGTCTGCCATAACAAGGCAAAATTATTAAAGCTCCATTCAGCCGCGTCGAAAAAATATTCGCTTCCCCTTGTAACACGTCTAGAGACATATTCCAGGAATATCTGTGACAACAAAGCCGTTCTTCCTCATGCAGTAGCGGACTTTGAACACATTTATTGGCATGTGTCTGTTTAGAAAACTCAGAGAGGGGTGTGTACTCCCTTGGTCGAGAATCTTGGGCAAAGCAGTTTAGCTTGGGAAAATGGCGACACGATGCATGTTGGTACAGTTCCTAGTGTGTGTGTGTGCGTGTGTGTGTGTGTGCGTGTGTGTGTGTGTGCGTGTTCTTGTGCAACCTGCTTGTCATGTGTTCTTGGAGTCGCTTACTGCAAGGGTGTGTACAGTGTCCAAACATGACTTCATTGGAAACAAGTACGTTATGCTTTTAACACGTTCCATGACATTCTCTCACTTTCTACGAGTGAAACAACAGCATCCTGATTGTTGACTTTTACATTCCCATGGCCTAGAAAAAAATCAAATGCAATGCATTTTATATTACGTTTTCAAAATGTGTAGCTGGTGGATTAATTATGTTATGCACTCCTAATGTTTAAAAACAGATAAGCACCCAGAATTAATGTTTGCATAAAGATATATTTTGGCTCATCCGGAAAGATCATTGCACATTTATGCACCTGAAGGTATAAAGGGTAAACTCATAGGAGGAGGAATAGTTACAGGCAGCTGCCAGAGCATCCAATATTTAGCCAAAAATGGTGAATAAGCGCACCAGGCACTAAAGATTTTTCATCAGTTTTGTGTCTTTCATTGTATAAAAAAGTTTTGAGGAGCATTTTGTAGTCAGGAAAAAGCAAACCGGTCCAGTTTAGATACTTTTGACTATTTGAACCTCCTCATACTTCTCATACCAACCTGTTGTGTGCACATTATGGATGTTTTTTTTTTTTACAATCGGTTCCTTCTGACTTTGCAGAAGCTCTCTTAGCTTGAGAGAAATTATCAACAGAAGTTTATTTCAAGATTATTTGTACAACACATTTTAGCAGCAAGGCAGTTCATTGTGCTTTACATAATAAAAACATTAAAAAATATACATCATACAGTTGCCAAATGTGACACCATTAACAAACATTACATTTTGTGGCGTGCCAATGTCAAAATTATCAATACACATCAAATATGTTGGTGAATGTTCCATTTTATGGTTAAAAAGCAACTCCAAACAGGTGGGTTTTTAGCAGTGATTCAAAGGAAGTCAGCGTTTCATCATTTTTGCAGTTTTGTGAAAGTTTGTTGTTCACGTTATTATCTTGTTTCCACTAAAATCAGTACAAAACTGTCTTCAGTAGTCACATAATTATTAATGAATAGATTCCACCTGTGTTTGATTTAATCTCATTATAAATCCAGGCCCCTGTGCAGGCGTCCAAATTTAAGAGTGTGGCAGAACCAGTCAAGGCATGGCTGCAGCAGAGAGGCCCAGCGAGGAGAACATTTATCAGGGAAGCAGCCAAGAGATCTATGGTAACTCTGGAAGAGTAGCAGATGTCCACAGCTCAGGTGAGAGAATTTGTTCTGATTAATTGTGCTCTCTACAAATCTGTCAAAAATAAATAAATAAATAAATAAATAAGAAAAAAAAATAAATATATATATATATATATATATATATATATAAATAAATAAATTATATATATATGTATGTATATGTATACACACTGCTCAAAAAAATAAAGGGAATACTCAAATAACACATCCTAGATCTGAATGAATGAAATATTCTCATTGAAATCTTTGTTCTGTACAAAGTTGAATGTGCTGACAACAAAATCACACAAAAATCATCAATGGAAATCAAATTTATTAACCAATGGAGGCCTGGATTTGGAGCCACACACAAAACTAAAGTGAAATGTTCCCTTTATGTTTTTTGAGCAGTATATATACATATTCTAATTTAACACCTTGAAAATGAGCCTCTGTCTCTTTAAAAACTCCTGCTCTTTCTGAATTGCCGCCTTCAGGAAGTCATCACAACAGTGTGACTCTATTAACACGTGTAAAGTTTTTATCAGCGTTGAACTCAGAAGTACCTCGCTTACTGAGCTCAGCAGATACGCTGTTTGCTAATTGCTGCTGGCTGAGCTGAGCTGAGTTTGGGAGAGAGCTGTAAATAGTTTGCATAATATTTAAAAACTCAAGCATCACAAACTGCTTTTTGCTCTATCAGATTAAATCTAACAAAATACAGAAGTTTATTGATGTACCGTTACAAAATTGGAAGAAGTTTGTAAAACCCACACTGAACGAGCCGCATGATGAACAATGGTGGTGGCAGCATCATCCTGTGGGGAGGATGGACAAAGCTACTGTAAACAGAGGGCAACACTGGAATGAAACCTTTCAAAGGGTTTCAAAAGACTTAACTCAAGTTCATCTCCTAGCATGATAGCAACGACAAAGAAGAAGTTAACACAATTTGCGCTTTTGTTGCCACAACAAAAAATAATTTTGTAAGCAAAGTCAAAGAGAAAAAATAAAGTTTCTGGATTCTAAATTCAGTTGTGAACTTTTGTGTAATTTCACATCATGCTATCGGTCAATGCTTATCTGATAGATAAAAAAAAGAAGAAAAATAAAGCACTAATGTGTCATGAAAGTTCAACAAAAACACCCATATTGTAGATGAACTGTGAAGAAACTTGTAAAATCGTCCTATTAATAGCCTATTGGATTGAGTTACATCTGTCTGTGGGAATTCCTCTGCATAGACACCAGAGGGAGGAAAAAACGGCAATGATTGTGTAACAGGTTACAATGCGGTTGTGTTCACTTTGGACTCTTTCCATAACGGCTCCTGCCCAGAGATCCCACTTACCTCTCCTCCTCCCTCTTGCAGAAGTCTGCAGACCTTCAGTGTGTAGATTATTAATTTGAACGCTTTCCAATCTGACCTGAAAAAATAATTAATAAGCCAGGGTAAAAGCTAACCTAACGACACTAGCTTTCATTTCAAACTCGTATGATAGGTCTGTTGGATTAGAAGAAACAATAAGTGGAGTTCCCAGGCCTGTGCAATAACCAGAACGCAGGCGTTGGCATAATCCCCAAGGGAGGTGACGGGATGAAGGTAAAGGTGACCTCATCTAAAGCCTCTTTGACAGAGGGCAATTTGTTCATATATCTTCCTCTAGTGGTTTAAGTTTTGTGTTAATGAGAGGGAACATGGTGACTGCGCTGCATTCTGTGCAAAAAACCCCAAAAAACAACAGGCATTTCTGTTTGCTTCCACCTATAAAGCCATTTGAGTTGTGCAGACAGGAGATGAGTGAATGGATGTAAGGAAAAGCTTAGTCTCTCCCCGGTTACTAAGTGGATTTCTCCCATGCAGCGAATGGCAGCTGTCCCATATGGAGCAGCAGGTGAAGCTATAATGTACCCGTCCATGAGAGAGGAAGGATATTGTTGCCCGCACTTAGAATCTGAACGGTACGTTCGTGCGACTGCCTTTACATTTTTTGATTTAAAAAAAACCAAACAAAACAAAACTAAAAAAAAAAAAACAGAAGATGAGTTAAATATTTACCCTCAAAAAGCTGACAAAATGAGTTCGGTTACTGTAAAATTAAAAATAAAACAAGGACCTTAGAAAATCTAACCCTTCGCAGGACAACAAATTGGTTACATTTCGTCACCTTTGTAAAATAACGGCCTACGTCAATTTTTTGGGGAAAGAAAAATTGCCACCTTTTTTTTTTTTTTGCCAAAAAATGAATTGGATAAAAAAAAAAAAAAAGACTCGGACCATTATTTTACAAAGGTGAGAATTTGTTCTTTCAGCTTTTAAAAGGCGTGAGCAGAGATGTGCATCTGACCTTCCCTTAACAGTCATTTACATGTGAGAGAGGGCGGAGGCTCGCCCCTTGAAGGCAACAAGGCCTAACAAGCTCAGTAACAATAAACCTTAGTCGGCTTTAACCATTAATGAGGCGGCAGCTGACATAACAAAAGCAAATCCAACAATAGCGATTGATGTGCACTCCAGACTTTGCGTAGTTTTATTGTTGGCGACGTATCCGCTGTTAAAGTCACGTCGTCTTCTCTGGGAGAAAGGTGGGGGGGCGGGGGGGCAATTAAACGGAGCTATTCTGCAGTTGTGCTTGGTACAGTGAGACAAAGGGCATGGTTAAGTGAAGCACCCCGAGAGCGCGTGGCATGCATTATGACTGATGATCCCTGACAGAGGCTCTGGTGACGGAGGGGGGGCCTCCATATTGCTTCCACTGCTGGCCTTGTGCGGCGGGATCTGAGCCCTGACCCTCCCCCCGCCCCCATTATCTTCTTCCTGTTTCTCATGGGTGTCTGACAGCTTCTGCCTATACAATACAAGCTGTGTCTGGAGACATTCCACTATGTGCCATACAGCAACACTCATAAAATGGCGCCCAGGGATCCTGGAAGCTGAACATTGAGCAGGCCTAGGGATGACTTTCACTAGTCACTAACTCTAGTTTCAGTTCATTTTTACAAAAATCATTTTCTCTAGCTAGAAAAAAATCTGTTGGTATATTTGAGTTTGACTTTATTGGACATAGTCTAATAAGAGGATAAACAAAAATACACACAGGCACACACACAGGCACACACACACACACACACACACACACACACAAAATAAACTTACAACAAAAGCAAGCAAAACGGATTTACAGGTTCAAAAGGTGTGGGTAGAATTTATTTTTACACTCATTTATAGCAACATCCACTAAATTACTATTCATGTTAATTTGGTTATATTAATAATAATTAGTATTTTCTATATTTCTATAACTGGTACAATGCATTCATTTGAATTCCAGTGTGAGCAAGCATCAGTCGTTTTTAACATGTAAGATTCTTTCTAAATCAATATGCCATAATGCTGTTATAATTCATTAAATGGTAACAATAACATTGATAATAGCAGTAATATCTGTGACTGTTTCTCATATTTATATAGCCTGATAACTTCTTAAATGATTATTTTAACTGTTTTATGTTTTCCATGCTTAGCCAGTCCACAGCTTCACCCCACGTATTTAAATTTTTCAAATTCATTCTTAAATTATAAAGTCTTCCCTTTGTTTAAGAAAAGCGTTTGAATGTGTCCTGGTAAGAAATTAGTTATTGGCTTTAAACAATATACAGTTACCATGTTGATAATACATTTTTGATTCCATGCAAATGTCTCATTTTCATTGGTGTGTATGGAGATGGAATGACATCTCCCCCAACCTAACTGTGTTCCCAAGTCACCAGCAGGAAAACCAGAGAGATTTATTAGACGTTGTGTATGCGTCACCTTTGTACTCATAACTTCAAATATTTTAGCTCTAATTTGAATAAGAAAACATGCAAGTCCCCTGAAATTTAGGATCACAACTAGAAAAGTAGAGGTTCCTCAACAAAGCTGGGGAAAAATGATGACCGCAAGTATCCAATTGAAGTGATTTATTTATACTTTAAATAGTTTGTGTTGCAGTAAATCTGGCACACAATGTACTGTAAAGCAGTTATTTGTGAAAAGTTTCTTTAGCTTTTCGGCACATAAAATGCAGAGAAATACATTAATATTTAGTTTTGAACATCTCAGCCTGCTCATTAGACATTATTATTATTATTATAAGAAAGGTTGCTACATCTCTGTTTTCAATGCATTATAAATGAACGTTTTAGTATGTGTATGGATAATAATGACAATGAATGTTTTATGTCAACATGTATCATATAAAATGTGTCAAGCCAGAACAGCTCAAAATGGAAGCCCTTTCAAATTTAAGGTCCTTTGTGACGCTTCAGTTATCCTACACTGACCTCTAGTGGTTAGTTTTATCAGTGTTCAGAGGTGATGCATCGCGGAAGGAGCTCATTCTGGCAGTTTTGGAAATCAACTTTCTGTCTCCTCTCTATTCTTTAATAATGCTATTTTACCCTCTCGCCTATGCCCCCATTCACAAATACATAAATAAAAATACATAAATAAATGACAAATCTGATGTATGGGTGAACTTTTGGCATTTGGACAAAGAACAATCTCTTTTCAACCTAGGATTTGAAGAAGTCTTCACATGTTGCTGTATTTAATTGCAATAATCTCTTCTAAAATATATATTGTGAAGTAATTTAATGAATAAAGGAGTATTATTATTGGATGTGTTATCTAGATTTCTGAACTGAACCCTGCGTATTTGTAGCCGTCAGGGCAATAAAAGTTTCAGACTGATCCACACTGTGAGGGTAAATAGGGAAGCTGTTTTCAAGCCCTTTTAGATGAGAAACCATCCTGGTCTCTGCTTTTTAATTGTCTTTTTATTCCATGTTAGCAAGATTATTCTAGATATTCCACATCCATTTGCTAAAAAGAAAAATAAGGCGAAACCGGGATCCTCATGTTGGTAAGCAGCTTAATAATAATGTCAAACCTGAGCTTAACCTCAGATGTAACACTTAATTTCTTGTCTTTTGTCACACCTCAACTTCACCCGGCAGGTGTGTCTTCAGGTGAAACATCAGAGGCTTTATGACTCAGTGACGTGTGTGGAGAGATGATAAGGGCTGGCTTTCAGAAACCAAAGTTGGACTTTGTTTCCTGTGTCAGTTTGAGTCCCACCTGTTAGTCCAGGAAATGCAGGTCTGATCAGCAGCGCCGTCCACGGCAGGAACCGTCACGCAGTAAGTCAGTCGATCACATTTGAGTTGTGGAAAAATATAACTTTTGGTACGTTTTTTTTTTTTTCACTCTGAGACTTAAAAATGATTAATACATAGATAAAATAAACAGAAATGTTGCAGTTAAACTGACTTCAGTTTAGGACGTAAGAATATTTTGATGGTACGGTGTTGTAAGACGGCAGCTGGATGTTACAGACTTTGTGTTGTTTTCATTTGAAATGAAACGTGAGATCAATCCTTTGGAAAAGGAAAATAATGAAATCCTCTCTTTGTATGGATTTTATTTAATCTTTTTCCCGTGTGCATCTTTTCCTATGAGTTGTTTTCCCAACCAAGTGCAGGGGACAACTTGATGTGTGTCACCTGTAGTTTGACATCATTTCTATTAATGCATGATTTTATCAAATGATTTTTGGTGTTACATTGTATTTCATTATTTTATATTACAGTATATGGTTCAGATTTATCTATGTTTTGGTCATTACACTGATTTTATTGCGTTTATTCTCTAGAGTGACAACACTACAATGACTGCTTCCTGGAAAATAAGCTTTGGCCTCATGTCCATTTGTTTACTACAATGCAGAGGTTAGTATTTTATTCATATGTATTTACAAATGTATAAATTGTGTGGTTGAATTTGTCTTTTAGAGATCTTGACTTTATATTAAAAAACACAAGACAGAACAGATAGAGACAGAATGAGGGATGTGTGATATAACCTTGTTGCCAGAATATGATGTGCTGATATTTTCTGACAGTCAATGCAGAAAATGGATATGTGACCCTAAAAACTCCTCTGTAGTCAAATTAAAATATTGTTGTTCCCCATTATGCAGAGAAACACTGTACTGTAAAACATGAGTCTATTTTTGTCTTTAACATTTTACAGAAAAACCCTTGATTGTGTGTGACTTTAACAGACTTGTGCACCAAAATTCTGTTTTCCACCGTTTGCTTTGGAATAAAATTTATTTTGGATCTAAACTCTTAAGTCTAACAAAGCCTAAAGCTAACAATGCGATATCTAATCCTGGAACCAGTTTTAGCTTTTGTAACACTTTTTTTTTATATATGTTTTGAAATGTTTTGTTGACATTTGAAATTTATTTTTTTTTGTCCATCTTAATTGAGAGGACTGGTGAAAACATCTAGCTGTTTCTTAAAGAAAAAAACCCATCAAAATATTTCAGCAAAAGTAATGGCTGAAATTCTGGAAATATTTTTTTATTCCCAGCAAATGGGTGGGTGGGGGGAACTTGATCCCTCAATACATAATTTCCAGTCAACTATTACTTTTACAAGTTATTTTTAATGAACTGCAATAAAATTCTCCTATAAATAGGAAAATATTTCTCAACTTGACATCAATGCTGGACAAATGGTTTCCAGAATTACTTTGTGTTTGACTTTCAGTCCATTCAAATGCTAACAAAGCAACTTTATTTGCTAAATTCACATAGCAAACACCAACTTTCTTCAAGCACAGTGTAAACAAAGCAGCATTCCTTGGTTTGCTGCCGTCTGTTTCCTGTTTCCTTTCTCTGACCTAACATTTACAGTAATGACTCAAAACATAAAATAATTTAACTATCGTCGCCACACAACTGTCAGTAACATTCCTCTTAAGCATACATTATAACCTAAGTAAATTCAACATGTCAATAATTTCTAGACAAATTAGTTAATCCGTACATGTACAAAAATTGTTACTTCTGCTACTCTCTAGACACTTTCACAAAAGTGTAGCTGCTTTTAAGTCAGGAAAAATGTACCTTCTAGGCAATCTGGTGTATTGTCACCTTCTTAAAATAGTGGCCTAAATCATCTTTTGCCCAATTTTTATTTAATTTTTTGTTGTTGTTGTTGCCAAAATCATCTCTTGGCTACATAGAGGTGGTGATTTATTGATTTTTTTTTTGTTTTGTTTTGTTGCAAAAATCACTTTTGCCAAAAAATCTCCTAGGCCATTACTTTAGGAAAGTAACAATATTGCAGTATGAATTTATTAAAATAAAAAAAGAAGTGTTTTTTTTTTCATTGACTAGAGCTAAATGTAACAGAATACATTGTGAAAAATGATATTTACTATCCAGCTGACAAATGTGGAATTTACATCAGCAGCTGCATTTACATTAAGATAAAATTCAGCATCCAGGTTGTTGTATGATTTCTTTGTCTTGAACCCAGTGGCGTCGCAGAAGGTCCAACTGGAGCCTCTGAACTCAACGGTGCTGCGAGATTCTGACGTCCAGTTTATCGCCACCATTCAGGGAGACTGGGAGGTCACAAACTGGGGTGTCGGAGGCATTCAAGTCCTCACAATTGTCAACTCAACAAATAGCATAATCCCCTCGTTGGACAGATTTTCTGCTAGATTCTGCGTCAACACCAACAGAAATTGTTTGGAGTTTACCATCCATAATGTCTCCCGCGCTGATGCTGGGGAAGTTGTGTGTAATGTACAAGGTCATCAACCAGTGACAGCCCAGCTTTATGTACAAGGTGAGGTCGCTACATTATTTTTCTCTGTTTTTACAGTCTTGAATTTAGAAATGACAAATGAAGCTGCAGACGCCTTGTAGTTCCTGTGGTATACTCTAGAGGTCAGTAATGAGCAATGTTCCATGTCTGAGGCGCTTCTTACGCAAACTCATCAAAAGTACCAAAAATAGTTAAACCCAGAGTAAAACACAAAAGACAAACTACTGGAGTGATAGTGCTGGTTTATTTAGGACTATTGTTGTTATTATTATTATTATTATTTATTTATTTTTTTTATTATTTTTTTTAAAGAAACCATCCAATAATCCTGAACATGTGACAGCCTTGCCATGAATGTTTTTAAGAAGCACAAGGAAGTTTAGATATCAAGCTATAAGTTATTATAACTTATGTGCAATAATCTAAGTCTGGGGTGTCAAACTCATTTTCATTTTGGGCAACATCAAGACCACGAATATCCTAAAAAAACAAACAAAACCCTGTTGAACTTAAAATACTGTGCACTCTTATAATTAAATAAAGTTAAACTCCTTTTCACATTGCCATATAAAAACTACTTTGATTTGTTTGATCAAAAACTATTTAAGCACACGACTATTCTTTGAAGGTTCTTTTAACATCTGGATTTGGCTCCCAAGCCTTGAGTTTGACACATTTGATCTAAGTGAACAGATAAATGTGAGGATGAATACATTTCTTTTAGAAAAAGCTTTGTAAAAAAAGAATTGATCTATAAATTAATTGAACAGTTGGAAAATATTTTCCAAAAACAATTTGGAAGGGATCAGTAAGATATGTGTCAGTTGCTGACTCATCTGTGGTATGTGTAGAATAATTCATTTGTTAAAGAAATCTGCAAACATTTCATTGTATGATTGGCAAATTGTAAACCTTATTTGACACCAAGCACCCAAAAGTTTACCGTTTAAAGCTGGACTGAAGCAAATTGCCTCAGCTCACATCCTGTTTTTTTTTTTTTTTACCTTACGCTAAAATAAATGCATCAAATAAATCCAGTATTCAATTCCTAGCAAATGTGCTTGAGTTCTTCAATCTAAAACCGTATTTGCTTTCTTTTTATCAGAGAGTGGAACAGTCAGCATCCTGGGCGGGAACGTGACGGTGGCGCAGGGCGGGGAGGTGGAGTTGGAGTGCGTAACGACTGCTTGGTTCCCGGCTCCGACCGTCAGCTGGACCCAAAATGGTCAGGCTGTGAACAGCAGCCTCTACAACACCACCAGCACACCTGCTGGGGATTCCTTCAACTCCACCAGCACTGTCCGGCTCACGGCCAGCAGGAACGCGAGAGTGGAGTGTTTGGCTTTTCTCTCAGCGCTCACCGCTCCACGGTCCAGCTCCGTCTACATCGAGATTGGTAGGTTCTGAACAACTGCTGCCAGTCATCAGTTGGGAATTAGTTTTGAACTGAATGGGACTTCATTGTTTTTTTGTTGTGGGTGTCTTAAGTCTGTGAGCTGCAGCTCGACTAAAATTTGATATATATCTCCTGTAGCCAATACCCGTGTTTCCATTGACCATATATTTGAGCAATTTCACAATTTGAAAATTGATTTGCTTATTGGAAACACAGCGATTTAAAGAAAAAAAAAATCTCGTTTTCTGATAAAAAAGGTTTTGGTACATGGATGAGATGGGTTTTTTGGCTGTATCGAAATTGGTTTATTTCACAAAACTGCAATAGGAAACACTTTTTTCGTATCATGAGTCACATGATCAACAACCGGCTGTCTCCACTGGCGCAAACCACAAAGAAGAAGAAGGCAGGAAGTAGTTTGAGGATCATGATGTGGCATAATCCTCATTTGCGTGAACAATTGCATTCCCTCACAACACATCAAGTTGGATGTTTTTTGGACATCAGTGGAATAGTGACAAGGTTTTGCTCACATTTGTAGTGGAAACGCAGCTATTGAGAAGAAGCTCTTTGCTCACAGGGCAGAAGAGGATTCATATTAAAACGACATCAGTGCTGCAGTAAACCTTCTGTGAAAGCAAGAAAAAAAGCTTTAGAATTAAAATAGACAATTATTTCTTTTTATTAATCCCAGGAGTTGGTTTGGCTTTGTCCTTTCAAATTTCCCTTTCAGTGAAAAAAGAAAAAACTGTAAATAATTCTAAGAAGTGGCTAACGCTTAAAGTTTATTGGCATATTTATAACATAATACCGCAGTATAAAATCCAGACGCTTTACAGGGTTTGGAGACATGTCAATAACAAACAGACCAAGCACAAAAGCCTGTTTACCCTAGATGGAAGCAGATTTACAAAAAACATCTTTCAATTATTTTTACTGTGTGTAGAGTAAGATATACACACACACACACACACAGACACACACGCAAACACGAGCAAGAGGGGAGAGCTTCTAAAGGTACTAAACGAGAACAATAGCTGGAACCACGAAGTAATATAAAAGTACTAAAAAGTTGCTAGCACATACTGTATATGTAATTTCTCAGTAGGAATGATACTAACAGGTTTCCATGGGTTTTAGTTTTGTTAATCAAGCTATGAGGTTTTGAAGAGAAACATTTATAGTGCGGATCTTTCTCCGCATTCAAAACGTCGGTAAATTAGATAGCGACTGTAAGGAGGCCTGTGAGTGAGCTGTGTAAAACCCAGCTGGGCTGAACACAAACACAACAGCACCAGCTTTAACTCAATAATGGATCCACTCAACATATAATCTGTGGCAATTACATTTCCAGAGTCAGGTTTCAGGTGAGCCAGACACAGAAATAGCTTGATCACGAGATGATGACACAGACATGAGAGAGGAAGGCTGGAGTCGTTCTTCAGCCACAAAATGTAAAAAATAAAAAGTTCTGAGCACAGATTTTGGGGTAACTTTTATCCACATTGAGAAAGTATTATGATTTCAAAAGAGAAGCACAGATTTGATGGGAAGAACCCCGGCTTCCTCCTCCGGTCTTGATTTGGATGCGTCGTGTTCGTTGTGCAGCTGATGAGCAAACGCAGAGGGCAAAGAGCGGACGACTACCGTCCCCGATGCTGGTTTAATATTCTGTCCCCGTCTCATCTGATGAGTTCACGTGATTCCTGTCACACATTTCATTTCAACTGAGGTTTCGAAAAAAATGTACTTCATGAAAAAAAAATCTGGCTTCATTTGAGCCTGGGTGTCTTTGAAAAATGTAAACAGTAGATGGCTTCTTGTTACACGTTCAACCAACCATACATTCAGAATAAACTAAATGTTATAAAGGGATAACACAGGAATAACTTTAACGTAAAAAAAAAAGAACTTTTTAACCAGTTGGAGTCAAATTACATTAGAGAATTTAACTAGATGTAAGAACAGAGCTTTACTGCTTTTGTTGTTGAAAAACAAAACCTTTTGTGGGACATTAACCTTTTGATATTTTCCCCCTCCTGCAACAGTTCCCAAACCTCCAGACTGGACAGTGCTGATAGCCGTAGTCGTGTCGTTTGGAAGTTGTGGTTTGTTGGTTTTTCTCATCCTCGGAATCGTCATCTGCTACAAACACAGGAAAGAAAAAAGTAAGAGACATTCCTTCTTAGCCCAACTAATATCCTATCACTCTGCATGGCACATCAGTGTAATCCCAAAACACATTCTCAGAAAATAAATGTAAAAAAATGCTCTCTTCTGTCTTTAACAAATCCAGTAACGTGTTTGTTTTATGCTCCTTTCTAGAACAAAATTACCAAGATGAAATGAGGTAAATGACCACGTGTGTTTGCTGTACAGTTTTGGGAGTGAAAGCGTCCAGGGCCGCAGAGATTCATGGTCAGACGTTTTTGTCTTGACAGGAGAGAGAGAACACACAGTCAGCTAAGTGTCATCAGCACAGCCGAACAGGTGAGGGGACAGGCAAACGAATACTACGAGCCGGAGAACCAGAGGAACGACACAGACGACTGGACCGAGTCCGGCTTCCTGAAACACAGACATATGACCTTCGTGTGACGACACACAGAGACGGAGAGCTATACGGACTTTTGGCAGGCTTTGTCCAAAGTCTGGAGAGATCATTTGCAACGCTGATAAAAAAAAAAAATAAAAATTGTTAAAATGTTAATAAAGGAGCAAATTTGTGATGACTTCCTGAAAGCGGAGTGTCAGAATGAGCAGAAGTTTTTAAGGAGACAGAGGACCAATTTCAAGGCATTCAATTACGAAGTCAAATTTCTTTTAAGCCATATTTGAAACATGTTGCATTTTTATGACAGCTGCAGGTAACATACATAGTTGATTGTGCTATAAAAGGCTATAAAAACACACAATGCTGAAGAAATCCTGAGAGTGGTGGAAGACTTCCAGCTGCTTAGACCAGTGTTTCTCAACCCTGGTCCTCACCGCCCCCCTGTGTTTCCCTTCTGCCACACATCTGAATTGTATTAACAGGCTTCTGCAGTACTTGGTAGTCATGCAATCATTTGAATCAGCTGTTCTGGAATAGAGGCACATCTAAAACATGCAGAGCTGAGGACCAGGGCTGAGAAACACTGGCTTAGACCGTTTTAGCTACTTTTAGCTGAAGAAACGGCAACAAAACCTAACAGTCTCTTACGAACGTGTAGACGTTTAATATACCACTGTACCCCAAAGATAAAAACATTTTCGGTTTGAGTTGTGTAGTTGTGCTAACATCAGCTGAAACAAAAAGTGTGTGTGTGCGCGTTTGTTTGTAATACCTTGTGGGGATGATTTTCCTGACATATACTACGTTGTGGGGACCAAATGCTTCTTGTGGGGGGCCGGAGCCTGGTCCCCACGAGGGGAAACCCTGTTTTTGGGTCAGGGGTCAGATTTAGGGCTAATGTATGAATTGAGTTTTGGTTAGGGTTAGGTATGTGATGGTTAGGGTTAGGAAAAGGTTAAAGGTAAGGTTTAGGCTGTAGAAATGAATGGAAGTCAATGGAAAGTCCCCACAAAGATAGGAACACAAATGTGTGTGTGTGTGTGTGTGTGTGTGTGTGTGTGTGTGTGTGTGTGTGTGTGTGTGTGTGTGTGTGTGTGTGAAAAATCCAAACAATTTCCTAAAGAACACCAGTCGTCTCTTTAACTGTGGGAAAATTTCCGACTGACTATATTTTCATGGATATGTTATTTTTGTTGTCAACACAGAATGTTTTCTGTTTTCTTCTATTATCAGTGTCTGCAACTGTTTCCTTATAAAATGGTTTCATCCTCAGTATTTTCTGTTTTTACATGCCAGCAAAAAATATTAACAAATCTCACTTTCATTTAGAAAATTGTTGCAGAAATCTCCTTAAATAAGGATATTCTGTTAGATATTTGTTGCAGTTTAACAATTTAAATGTCTTGTTAACAAGGAAACACAATTTCTACTCTTTACGGACATAGCGCCATATCTTATGTGTTGCTTGGAAAAACGGTAACAAAGGAAATTTACCTGCATTGTTTGACTTTGTATTGTTGACTTTTTATTTTTCTGTAATTGCCAATTTTATGCCTGAGTTTTTATATTTAAGTGTTGTGTCCTTGAATATCTTGAAAGAGGCCTTTGATAAGTGCACTATAACACTTTGTTGAAAGTTGAAAAGAAATTTTAAATAATATAAAATTTTTACTGTTTTTTAAATGTAAACTTTCATGACTCCTGAAGTTATTTGAAGACGGAGCAGTTGTTCACAGTGCGGGTGCTAGAGGTTTAGCATCCTTCAGTAAAAACCCTTCCAGTCTGAGAAACGCAACGTAAATCTGATCGCCTGCTGTCTTTATGTCTCAAAACTGGAAATGATATCAGTACCAGTTTTGTCTTCTCCCAGGCTGACTCGTTTAAATGAGACAAATTGGTTTTTATACAAAAAGGTCCTGTTTAGTTTGTGTTTTGTATTCTGTGACCATTCTTTGTGTAACTTTAAATGCCTGGTTGGTTTTGGTGAGATGACGGTCTGTAGATATGTGGTTGCATGAGTTGTAAAAAAAAATAAATAAATCACAGTATTGAAATTTGGGCTTGTTAAAAGAAACTCGAATCTTTGTCCACTTTGATAATTATGTTAGTAGCATAACAAGAAGGAATCATTCAGGATTGTTGAAGTGAAGTTATTCCCTTTTACGTTCTCTTAGATAATCACTCTGATAGAAAAAAACAAACTACATGTTCTGTTCTCAGTGTGCGTTTCATACAGGAAGATAATTGGTGATGCACTGCCTCCTACAGCCATTTCCCTGTAAGTAACCATTGAATTTCTTGTAAATCCAAATGTATGAATGTCTTAATGGTTCAAAAACAACGTTTGCATAAGCACATTTTATACGCATCTGATAAAATTATACATTATAAAAACAGATTAATGTTAAATATACCTGTCAGTCTTAATTTTTCCATTTCTAATGCAAAGCAAAAACATTAAAGTGAGGGGCTCCTGATATCTTTTCCTTTTATCTCACCACAGGTTCTTGGCTACCAGAAGTTTTTTTTTTTTTTTTACTTTTATCTGTCAGCTTCCACTGTCGCCACGTCACAATCTGCAAAACAAGCCAAACATGCAGCAGATTGATTGGACAGACGGCTGCTCCTCAGACAGAGGAGCTCTGCTCATTGGATCGTGGGCTGCAGGGGGCTCTGCAGACTATAAAAGCATCCACTGCACACAGATGGAAGCACAGAGGGAATCTACTGCAGCTGGCCGGAGCTACAGCATCGCACACAGCTGGAATCCTCACCGAGAGACGCAGCTCAGCCATGAGTGAGGTAAGACCCTTTCACTGAGCTGCAAAGCTTCTCATTTTATAAATTAGATTCATGAATATGAGCTTTTCTTTGACTTTTGTGCAGTCAGCTGAACTACTACACTCTCAGGTGTTGACATTTTGTACTTTATAAGTGATAAATCTCATTTGCGTGGTTGTAAGTTTACACAGTGAGCCGACTGAACTTTTCCTTTAAAATTATGTCAAATTTATGCTGTTGGAAAACAGAAGTTAAAATCCAGCCATATACTCAATGTGCTTCTGGTTTTATAATCAGAATAAAATTTGCTCACATTATCATGCGAGTGGCTGCAGGGCTGACAACTCGACGTCAAACAACTCCTTCCCTGAACATTGTGATAAAGTTCTGAACGTGTTTCTATGTGACATTTCAAGCCGGATCCGGTGTGATGAAGCGGAGACGGCTCCAACCTCCGTGCTCATGCATCATTTATGGGGGTCCAAAAATCAAACTTTGCACGTTGACTTGGGAGGGTTGGAGATAGAGAGGAGTGAGAGAAGACTCCTTACACACACTGTTCAGTTACTGAATTATTCAGAGTAACTGCGAAGCCGGAGGAAGAAACAAAGAAAAAAAACACTCATTCTGTCAGTGTGCATTTGTGAGCACAGCCTCCAATAAGACCTTATCACGAATTGCTCACCCTGAGGATCACCGCTGACTGAGAGCATGAGGATACATATTTTATCTTATTCCTCCGACATCCCAGCTGCTCCTTGGAGCAGCTTGTAGTCTGGTGTTTAGCTTTCTATACAATGTGACACAACATCCAATGGAGGTTTTATTCTTTACTCTTCCGTGCAATTCTTACAGAGTGACGTTCAAATAAAAGTCAGGAAACTTTGAATGGTCAAATCGTGGACAGCAGTATGATGGATGATGGGAGAATGGATGAGTTTCCTAATCTACGTCTTTAACAGCGAGTCAGTTTGGATTTTAAAGAACGTTATGATCATTGGGACTCTCGCAAATGGTGGAAACGTGACCTGGCCAGGCTAGTTTTCATCTCCGTGAAAGCAGAGACGCAATGAAACAGAAATTCAACATGGCTGCCGTCGTTTCCGCTGGTCTGAAATAGTGTGAGAAGCCGCTTCCGAGTCATCTCAGACTCAGTGTATGAAAGTTGAACCACCTGGTTTTGGATGCCAAATGTAGCTGAGTGGTTCAATTTTAAATAATTAGTCTTCTGTGTGCAAGTCAAAGAGAAATGTATGTTAAACCTAAAGCTGCATTGAAAATGTTCTTCCTCTCCTGCTAGCAGCTGTGAAATACCAGCAGCAATATGTTAGACATTTTTGACCTCCAAGGTTCCATGAATGAACCTTCAAATCGAGCAACAACTTAAATAAAAACACAAAAGCCTTAAAATGAAACATCCGAGAGAGGAAAAAAAAACCTGGTCACTCCAAAAGCAGCAAAAGCCCGATATTAAAAACAAGGTAGTGCAGTTTGGCCTTTAATTTATCCCAATGAACCAGAAGCTGCATCGCTTCATCATTCCCACCTGACTGATTTGAGTCACACGATTTCCTTAGGCAAACAGGAAACTGACAGCTCAGCCTCCCCAGTTCACACCGTCGATGCTGGAGCTCCACAGAGCTGTGTGTTCAGACCGTTCCTGTTCACTGTACCTGGAATACTCTGATGATACTCAAAAACAATAACCATGTCATGAACTACCACACCAAACGTCAACACCCTATTGTCATCCAAACTGGTGAAATAGTGTAGTTTTATACAAAAACACTTACCAGTCTGCTGCTTAAAACAACTACTCTTACAGATTTTATAGAATTAATTCATGCATTTTTTTTTACAAAGTTGTTAAACTAAAATCACAAAGTTGTCCAACACTGCTGCAAAAAAGGGCTGGAAATGTAATGAGAGGTGAAGTAAGTTCAGTGTGCTCGTATTGCTGCTGTTGTGCTGCCATGTCTATTATGCTGTAAATATAAAACAACCCTTTGCTTCAACTCCACGTCGAATAACGGCCAGATCACAAAAACTTCTACATTGCACCAGAAACTCCTTGCATGGCTTGTTAGACACTTAATGTCTACCATCCATCTTTTCCCCCTCCTCCATCTTTTTAATTTGGTCGTGTGCGACGCTGTAAATCTCAGCAGCTGTCGAGATTTCACACACTGCCAAATTAACACTGAGGCTGCAATAAAACTGATGTATTCTTTACTTTCCCCATTAGTGCGGCTGACATAATTTGCTATCAAATTTCCGCACATGAGAACGTTCACCAGGCAAAAAGTTTTCAACCAGAAACTGAGATGTCATTTTCTGGCAATGCCACAGTAATTCCACCGCAGGTTAATTGGAGTTAAGTGCTAGCTGCTATTAGACGATCCACCAACACGCGTGACATCATTAAGGTGTTTTTTTATTTTATTTTTTAACATAGAGCTCATCTGGACAATTAAGTGACCAAATTCTCTTTCAGACCTTTAAAATTGGTCAAAGAATGCAATGAGAGAAAAGATTCCTGCGAACATTTTTAATGAAAACATCCAGTTCTGGAGTGGAGTGGTTCTTGAGATGTCCTGCTGTGTTAGCAAAGCCT